CCAACGTCGAGTCGGGAAAGTTCATGGAATTTAATAATTCCTGAAAAAGCAACAACCGTTTGCCGGCTAAGAAAGGTCTTACTGACTCATGGGCTTTGGCCTGGAAGGCTTGCTCATCTTGCTGCAATTCTCTAGCGCGGGCCAGCATGGACACGAGCCTTTGACAACGGAACTTGTGGATTTCCCACTGCGTGACCGTTGCCATCCACTCTGTTGTGTCCTGAAGCAAGGCGGGCAAATCCGGAAGCTGGCTGTTGGGGTGTCTCACTGTGATAGCCCTGGCAACAAATTCCTGCGGCTCAATTGGCGCAGCTACATAAATGTCTTGAACTGTGCCGCTGCTGCCCAGGCTGTAGCCTTCCACGACGGATCCCTTACGGAAGGGAGCTGGCAAGCGAGATCCGTGCGCACACTGCGCCAAAGAAAAACCCTCCGGAGCCGGGATCCACTCCCTCCTAAAACAGTTCTTGACTCCTAGTGGAAATTTTGATGCTTTTGGAAAAAGGCCGAGGTAACATCTCCCGTGCTCGATCGCTGCGGCTGTGGCCAGGCCTGAGGGCTTCTGCTCCGTGAGTCGACCGTCCGCGACAGCTGAATGGTGTAAGGCATGCGCCCAATGCTTGCACAAACCTTTGGGGTACGAGGCTTCTGAGGATGTGCTCCAGGAACCATCCGCCTCTCTGCCCCATGGTTTATGGACATGTTTCATGTCTGGATGGCACCTGACTGACAGACTGCTAAGGGCTTGGCACGAGGTCCAGAGGGTGGTTTCTTTAGGTCTGTCTCCACCATACACACAGTTGTGGAAGGTTGCGAAGTGAACGTCTGGGACCTTGCGAAAGAGGTCTAACAAGGGGCTAGTTAGCCACATAAGGCTTGATGACGGATTTTCTATGCTCCACCATATATCCTTGGCGTGACATGTGATAGCAATGTCAGCGCACAGTCTGTAAAGGCGGTTGGCATTGCTAACTCTCTGAAAGCTCAAGCCCTTGATGCCATCCGGCTCCTGCATAGACCGAAGTGGCGCAGGGTCACTTGGCTGACTCTGCATTTCTCTGGCACGGCTGCTTGTGCTGCAAGGAGGCGCTATATGAACATAAATAACTTTGTGTCTTTCTAACAAGCGAAAAAGCAGGGTCGCAGACTGAGGCCACAACAAGTTTAGTTTGAGGATGCGACATCCTGGGGCATCCTTACTGTCAATGGCAACTGTTTGCCACCCCTTGTCTTTGAAGGCTTGGCTAAGGCGCGCGCTACCTGCAAAAACTTCTATCATGATAGCCTCTTCCACAGGACAAACACGCGCATCTGCCTTTTTGCATGCTGCCGGGCCCGTGGGAGGGCCAGCGGCACCCCGGAGGGCAGCACCGACATTGTCCATGCCAGGGCGGACACCTGCAGGGCCCTGCGGCTGAGCGGCTGAGATATCAGCTGCGAAAGTCTGGGAACTTTCTGCGCTGGCAGCCTGGGCAGTGACTGGAGTCCGTGGCCCAGGCTGCGCTAACCGTCACTGGTCACAAGCCTGTAGGCTATGCTTGCCATGGCACCGTATGCACACATGCAGGCCGCGGCGACACTGGGTGCCCATGTCAGTGTCCCAAGTCTCCTCGGAGCATCCATGCGGGAGGTTGTGATTAAAGCATACAGGATGGCCCTTGTAGTTGGGGTCCATGCCTTTCAAAGCTGAAGGCACGCTGGTTTGCTTGTCCTTGGACTTGCTCCACTTGCCGCCTCCTTTGACTTTGTCATGCTTTCCTTTCTCCTTGCCCTTACCCCTGCCCTTGGGCGTGCGCTCGAAATACCTCCACGGCTGGTTGGGAGACAGGTCCTCCCAAGGCCTTTTGCGATCCTCTTTGGGCGGCTTAGGGACTGGGTATAGGTGAAAGGCCACGGCTGCTGAGTTGCTAAACTTCGCAATGGCTGCGTTGACTAAGGCGACAGAATTGACTGACGTAAGGTCGCTGCCGACTTCTTCTGCTACTTTAATCCACAACTCACGGTCTGCGCGCATCACTTGGTCTATGGAGGCGGCTACAAACCCAGGAGGAGGCTGGTGATGAAGGTGCTCCATCAAGCCGCGAACATAATCTTCGTGATTCTCATACGAAGCTACTCCAGCCATCTCAAGGGCAGCTGAGCGCCTGGACAAGGCCTGAGCCAGTCTGAGCTCGCTGCTGAGGTCTACTTTCATGGGCACGGGCTTACTGGCTAACCTTAAGGCGGAGTTCTCCAACCGCAAAAGGTGATCATCCTTCTTGACGGATGCCACCTCCTGTGCTCTACTGCTGCATCGGCTAGCCGGTATATGGCGAATGCATTGGTCTGAGAGCATGGATGAACACATATCCACTAAGTAGCGGCTCGGTTCAAAAGGCCCGGTCAACTTGAAGGCCCCTAATTTTGCCTGAAGTGTCTGGAGCTGCGCTCCTGGGCTGTCAATTTTCTAGAGGGCTCTGAGGAGGGGGCGTCGAGCGATGCGCGAAGTTCGGATACGATAAACGTTCCTGCCTCGAATATCAAACGTGTCACCGCCCCTTTTTGGGCCTCATTCAGAACGGGTCTGATGCTGTCTACTAGGGCTGTAACTTTGGATCCGTCTACTTGGTTAGGCGCGGGGGCTACCCTAAAGAGGAGTTGGCTATAGGTCTCTATACCCTTGGCTGAGAAGTCTGCGACCTGGTCTGTCGTAAGGCCATACGCTTTGGCCTTGGACTCGAACGTGGCCTTGCTGTCACTGACCCCGGACATTTGGCAGCAGATCCTGCCAGGTAGAGACATGGTGCTCAGAGCCAAACCCGCATGTTACATGAGCCAGCCTGACGTCTGTGAACTTGGTATTCTGAAACGCTAACCTAAGTAGGGAGTCAGCGTGGGTCGACTCCTCAAGGAGACCGATTCATGCTGAGACGGGGACCGCAAGGTCCCACCTGACAAAGACCCCCGCGCGTGTCTGATGGACAAGAAGGCACAAGCCTCGCCTCAGAGATCCCCAAGGATTGTATCCACCGTAAAGCAGAAGCCTGGTCAAGGGCTTGCTCTACATTGAACACAAACGAAGGCTCAAGCCTGGCCTCAAGGCCGCAACCGACTCTTCCGGACGTTTCACTGTTAAGCCACAAGGCTATGTAAACGCACAAGTCGCAAGCTCCCGCTCACAGAAGCACGCAATTCGTTGCTTCAGACTTTTCCAGCTGGGCTGACGTCTGTTCTGCGACTGCGAAAGTCAAAGAAGGCCACAACACCGGCTCAGGCTCGCAGGGGTAAATGCTGTTCTGCTCGCAGGGGTAAATGCTGTTCTGCTACGTGTCCGAATATTGGCCCAAGCCAGCGTGCGCCGGCTGCTACACACACCTCTCTACGACGGCTAAGCTCACTGCATGTACGAATGGCTATCCTAGGCTAGAAATGACACTCCGGACATTCATGAGCATCGTGTCCTCTGTGGTGCGATGTTGTAACGGCACGAGAACACGAATAGTTGCCACAACGCTGACAACGTACCAAGCAATATCCTGCCAGGCGGTGTCCGTGACGCCTAAGACTTGAGGCGAGTCTAGGCTCACGGCCTGTGTGCAGCGGTTGAAAATTGCTAAGCAAAGGGTGTCGAGGCAAGACCCCGTTAGCTCCCACCGCCTCCACTTTCGCATAGTAGTTCCCTAAAGCGAAACCAACCATGGCTTGGAAATCTAGGGGAGGGTAGAGGGGAGGAGCTGTGGACGGCAGTGCCGTTGACGGCTGATTCGGCACTTGCGCGGGCCCCGGCTCGTATGGCTGAGGTGGCTGTGGCGGCGCCTTAACTGGCGCGGACTGAACAGGCTGCTTGGGCACGCAACTACCCTGGGCACCGAAGGTGGGCGACTGCTTGGGCTTGGCCTTAGGCTTGCAACCAGGCTTAGGCTGAAGCGGGTTTGGACGGGGCACACTACCGTCAGGGTTAGGGCGAAGGGGCCTCCCAGAGCTTGTCGTGCCCGGCTGAAAGGTCTGCTCTCTGGCTAAACGCTGCCCCTCAGTCAGAGACTTTGCTACAGGGGTTGTGGCTGTACTGGCTGCAACGGCGTCGTGCGTCTGATCCTGAGACTCAGACTCACACTACATGAATGCACGGGAGTATGCTTTGGAACCTCAGTTGCTATTAAACAACCAAAAGCAACAAAGCAAACTGAAAAGGCTATAACCAGACACTACGACATCAGCCCATGGCCGCGTCTGAGACGTCGTCCCCTGGGTGGTAAGGGGCTGGTCAAACTGGTACTGCGCTTCGTCGATAACAATCGTCTCCACCAGCTCTGGTTGTGAGGAGATAGGTTCGGGCTGCATTGGCTGAAGAGACTGTTCCGGCCGAATAGGCTGCTCCGGCTGCATGGTCTGTTCGGGCTGGATATCTTCCATCTCGAGTGGAGACAAACCGCTGTCGATGCTAACTGGTTGGAGAAAGGCCCGAGAGTGATTGACCAGGTTGACTATGTCCTGCAAGTGAACGGTGGCTCTGATGGACAAACCCAAGAGGGCTTCTGCAGCAATGTCTGGATCGGCTATGAGGATAGCCTCAAAATGACTTTGCAGAGCCTTCAACGTGGAAACGTAATCTCCAGAGTTTGCCATGGCTTCTGACCTTCTGATAAGAACAAACTATGCACTTGTGCCAAAATGGCACGCGTTGGTGACCATTAAAGTTTGTTGCAAGCAAACATCACGAACATCATCACCATCATCACGGGATTGGTATCAGACTCCCAAACGGCTCCCAGGCATACTATTCCAGGACTGGAAAGAGTATTCCAAGCAAGCCCCTGAATAGACAGAGACAGAGGCAAAGGCAGAAACACAGACAGAGCCAGAAGCAGAGATAGAGGCTGTTTTTAGGGTTTAGGGTTTAGGGCTTTAGGGCTTTAGGGTTTCTGTTCCCTTCATGGAACCTGGTTACAGGTAGTTGGCTTGGAGGCTCTCGGGAGCCCGGAGCTACGCCACTATCTCTCCGCACTTGCCAGCTTGGGAACCACGATAATCACAAAGGTGAAGATCATCATGATGGGGATGCTCCTGGGCTGCTCCGGCTCTTAGGCCCTCAGCCCGAATTCCTCCCAGGGAAGCTCCGAAAAGCCACAGAAGACGTGCACCCAAGGCTCAGGGCACACGAGGTTCCACAAGCGAGCCCCCAGCCTGCGGCAAGTTGTCAGCGCTCCGCAGGATGGCGTTTAGGGTTGGGGGGTTGTGGCTTAGAGCTTAGTGGGGCTGCTCTCAACATCGTACTCATCAGGCCTCCGAAGAGCCCCTTTGTGAAGCATTCATTCTACGGGTACCCCTGTGAACTTTGAGCTTCTGCTTAACTAAGCCCTCAAGGGTTTTCGGGCCTAGGGTGTTTAGGTATTCGCCTCGGCTTCCTGCCGAGAAGCGTTTGGAACAAGCAGACCCGGATCCGGTCTCCTTCCCCATAACCAACCCTTCCCCCCATGCCAAATTTTGTGACGCAAACCCCCCCCCACCCTGTGGGACTTTTCTGGAGCTGCAAACCTTCCTCCTTTCCTGTCTGTGGGCCAGCCCGGCTGCCGAGGCGGCACGCGCAAGCGTTTACAACTATTCTCCGAGGTTGAACAGCAACACGGGCATTCAAAACCTCTCGCGGGCCTGTGTACGTGAAGAGGTCTCCGAAGTAGTTCGGATGCATGCACCAGGCAGCCTTGGCTTCGAAAAACTCGAAGACCCGAAAACCCAAACCTAAGCAAGCCCTGAAGCCCCGCCCCAAACCCAAAAAAAGCTGAGAACCCCTGCAAAGCTACAAAAAGGCCTTCGAATCCTGAAACCCCCTGAGCCGCGCCGCCGGCCCCACCGTGTGCAGCTTCCCCTTATTCTCGGGCTGGGCCTTCCACCGGAAGCGGTGCACGTCAGCTCACTCTCCTTTTGAGGGATGTTGGGGGGGGGGGGGGCGGGGGGTTTGGGGGTTTAAGCGGCTTCTTGAGGATGTTTGGGCTGTTAGGGGATTTTGGGGGTTCAAGCGGTTTAGGGCTTGGGGTTAAGGGGTTTAAGGGGGGCTTAGGTTTTCAGGGTTCAGGGTGCGCAGGGCTCGTTCTTAGTACACAGGAGCTCCGTGCCTCGTAAAACAAAGAGTACGAGGATCCGCCCAAATAGAGCCTCGGTGGTTCTGCAGGGGTGAGTACGAGTAGCTGGCATGAGGAGTCGCGTGTTCGGGGTTCGCAGGTCGCACCTAACACACACACACACACACACACACACACACACACACACACACACACACACACACACACACACACACACACACACACCATGTGGCAGTTGGTCAGACTACCTGTTGCCATAATCAACCACGATGTCTCTTATGCCCCCAAAAGAATCTAAATAACTTCCCAAGAAGAACCTTCAGATCAAGCCTCATGTACGCTTTGCGCGCATGCACAAGACATGCATGCGGCAAATACACAGCGCAGCCGAAAGTCACCAGGCCCAGCCAGTCGCGGCCCGCGAACTGGATGTCCGAGGCCATTGTGCAGTAGCCTCACCGTGGGGTTTCGGGTTTAGGGTTTTAGGGCTTTAGGGCTTTAGGGCTTTAGGGCTTTAGGGTTTAGGGGGTGAGGTCTTGCAGTAGGGTTTTGGGGTTAGGGGGTGATGAAGTCTGTCTGTTCCTTCCCCTGCGTGTACCCCCGTCAAGTTGACCCAAGGATCGCACCAAGCGCCCCCTCGGGTTCAGAGCTTAGGGTTAATTAGGTTCTAGGGTTCAGGGTTTAGGGTGTAGGGTTTAGGGTTCCAATTACAAAAGCACGGAAGCCGTACATGTAGGCCACCGTGGGGACAATGAGCACGTAGATCACGAAGAGCCTCGTGGCATCATCTTTCGGGGGGAAGGGGGGGGGTCCTTGGCCCGCCCTCTGGGACCCAGTAGCCCTGTAGGGGTTGATGGAAAGTAAGCGTTTTTTAAGTTCAATCATGATTCCACAGCACAACAGAATGCCCAAAACTAAGTTCGACCTGATGTTCCCTTTCACCATCGAATGCAGTACATGTACTCTAACCCAACAATTCCCTGTGCACCGCAGTATGATTCTATACACGTACTCTAAACCAACAATACCCTCTGCACCGACGCTGGACCACTCCCCTTAGCCAGGATGCATGCAGAACGTGCCCGGGCACAGCCAGGTGGGTGTCTGCTGCCCCCAGATCTCCACCAGGGCCTAGAGATGGGTGTCCTAGGGTTTCGGGTTCGGGGTTTCGGGTTCGGGGTTTAGGGACCGAAGGTCTCCGAGGTGCGGATGCTGCGGGGTGTAAGCATGTAGCCCATACAGAATGGAATCGCCAACAAGCCCACCGAACCCGCGATCACCCCCAAGATTGTGAACCCTTAAACCCCGAACAAAGCACCAAAACCCTCAAACGCCAGACCTCCAAACCCTAACAACCCCCTAGAAACCCAAAACCCACAACCCCGGTCTGAGGTCCCCCCACATGGGCTGGCTACCATACAAAGTAAAAACTCGTAGACAATGACACTCCAAATAGAGGGTGTAGATATCAGGGTGACGGGTTTAGGGACCGGGGTTGCTCTTCGGGAGATTCGAATACATGCTGTGGATGATTTTGTCTCCTGCCCTAAACCCCAAACCCGAAAGCTGCCAAAGCTTCCCCTCTAACTCAGTGGGTCCTAAAGAGCATCGGCTTTTCGGAGTTTAGGGGCTTTCTGAGGTTTTTGGGGTGCCCAGGATGCCTTGACGACGAAGATGCTGCCGATCAGCAGGAGCACCTCGCAGAAGTGGGGTCTGCGCATGAACTCGCCTTCAGAAGGGCCCTACAAGGCCCAGGTGCCCAACGAGCAAAAGAAGGAACCGTCATCCCATATGTGCTGAACCTGCTTTGACGATTTAGGGTTTCCCAGGAAGGTCTAGGATGTAGGAAATCCCAAAGCACCTTTTGAAAGTATCCGAGAATAGGAATAGGGGTAACCTTCTTGGGGGTCCTATAATAAGGATTCTAGTGTTTTGGGGAATGTTAAGAGGGCCCCCAGTTAGTTTGGGGAACTCCCCTGATGGTTGTGGATTCCGAGGCCCCCGCAGGGGATTCGAGGACAAAGTAGAAATACGAAGCCATCTCCAGCAGCAGTAGCACCGAGCATCCCTTTGTAGGGCGTCGGGGCTCTTGTGGGGTTTAGGATTTAGGGTTTGGGTTTAAAGGGATGTAGGGGGACGGTCGTGGCTCTTTTCCCCAAACGCAACGGGGCTCTCTGTCAGTATGCGAGGCTTCGGGAGGAGGGCATTCGCGCCGTCAGTGCCAGGCCAAGCCGCGGCTTGCCAGGGCAATCGATCCGCGCTGCTAGTGTTGCCCGTGGGACTGCAGCAACATGGCAGTCGTGGCTCAGTGGTTTGAGGGCCCGGTGAGGCCTGGAGATCTCTAGGGGTTTTGGACTTGCTTCTCCAAAACCCTGCAACTGATCGGTGGGGCTTCGCGACTTGACTGCCCTGAACTGCCTGAAGCCCTTGACTCTGCAGTGCAGCTCTGATAGGGTGCAGGACGTCTTGAGCAACTGCGCCCCAAGGAACGACACCCCAACAGCCGCCCCCGAAGCCCATGAAACCCCCAAGCAGAGGGCTGCTTCACTAGTGCATTGTTGCATTTGACCTCTTCGTGTGGGTTCAAATTGTTGTTGAGAAAAGAAGGTACGGAGGCGTCCTCCTCCATTGAATCCATTTCCGCAAGTCCCGGTCCAGCCCGCAGCCTGGGCCCAAGGGCGTGTAGAAGGAAATACGACGTTCATTCATCTCTTCATTCACTTCCTCGTTCACTACGTTCTCTTCGTAATTCATTCTCTCTTGGTAAACCTTCATGCACAAGGAAACAGTATTAAGTTCATGAGTCTTGTCTTCCGGATTCACCTGTAGGACGTACCATTCATCTCTCTCACTCTTGTTTCACAGCCTTGTTCACCCATCACACCTTGAGACCCTGTTAACGCCTGGTTCGCTCCCTCAATCACCCACACCTTCAAGACCCAGACAATCTAGCTCCTGTAATAAGGCTTTTGGCATGACCGCAAGATAGAACGCTTCCTTGTTCACCCATCACACCTTGAGACCCAACCTCTGTTTCCAAGCCACTAAGAACCCACCCTCGGGACCCCAACATCAGGTTCTCCAGCTATAACCGTGTAACACCTTGGAATCATGAGCCAGGAAACTAGACCATTGAGCCCTTAGTATTATAGCTGGAAGGTAATTAGGACCAAAGCTTAGGCTCTGCACTGGAAACTACAAAAAGTAATGATAATGACTACACAATAATCAAAATAATACATAAGGATCAGAATAGTATGAAGAATACGATGGGATATGGTGGGGCTCCTTCTTTCTTGGATCTCCTTAGGGGGTCTGCATCTTGGCAGTCGCGGAGTGTCTAGGGCCTAGGAGCATGCGTGCATATCGGGGGGTTTCCGAAGCTAGGGGGGTACCTTAGGGTCCTTCTTATAAGGGGATCCTACCATTTGGGGATCTATATGGGGCGTCCCCTATTTTCGTAAACCCCATGTCGCCCTCCGCCAAGAAGCAGCAGGTCTCCGCGCTCGTGCCTGAGCTGCTGTCAGAGTTCCGGGCTTCAAAGTGCCGAAAGGATCTTCATGGCCCCGACCCCCCCCCCCTGAGCCCCCCTCCCAAAGTAAATTGTGCTTTAACTAGGTCGAGTTTACAATGGTAGTTTGTATAAGAGTCGTCACGTTCAGTTGTACTTGGTGTCTTGCTTTTAACTTCGAGCGGGCCTGCCAGTGGCTGCTCCAAAGGCTTCGACATGGCGTCGCAAGGTGAACCCAGCGGAGCCCCTCGATCGATCCGTAAGCGGCGCCAATCGCTCTGCACAGAACCCACAAGCATCCCCAGATTAATGGGGTTCCTAAGGGAGGGGGGATGAAGGGGGGTAGGTATTTAGGGAGGCTCAGGGCAGCTCAGGGAGCCAGCGGTAGAAGTGGGGAGTTCTATACGGAACCTGGGGTTGCATGCCCCCCCTTGAAACCCCCCTCCCTCAGCGTCATTTTGCGTGCTCACCTGAACCCAAGAACAGGCGTCACTTTGAGTGCTCACTTCCCCCCCCCAAAACAAGCCACAGTTGGTGGCTTGACGGTTGGAGCCTCTTTGCTATACTTTGGGGACTTTGGGGCTGGAACGCTCGAAGAGCGGAAGGGCTCGCAAAGCGCGCCTTTGGCGTGGCCAGCTCCTCGAGGGCGCTCCCAAGAGTCAGCAAGGCCGCCACGGAAGCTAAGAAGTGCACCGAAGAGAAGTCACCGATCCACAAGCGGAGATACACCCACGTTAGAGCGCCGATGAAGGCTGGCGCCTTCTGGCCGCAAGCAAAGCCCTCGTAAGCCCGAAACAGCCTCGAACCCTACACAACCGCAGCTGCTCCCTCCTGTCCTGGTAGCTCCTCTCCACCGTGCTGTCGTAGCAGCAGCTCAAGGCACAGACCTGGCGCGTCCTAAAGCCCGCCCTCCCCTGGAAGATTATACAAACGGATAAACTGTCGTAGACATGCGTCGCGCTTGTGCTTCGTAACACGTGTGGGGTTTGCGCGAACGGGAGCAGCAAGTGACATGGTGGCGAGCCTTGGTCGCGCTAGCGCAGCAGGCATAGTCTGCGGCTGCCTTGCGCCAAGCGGACAATTCTGGAACCGCTGAACGTCCCCAAGTGTAGTGGTCATGACAATAACACTATGATAACCATCACTATCATCATGATCAGTACCATGAGCACCGAGGTCATCCTCGTCCCTCGCCCTGTCTTGGAAGTAGTTGAAGAAGCGGCAGCGGCATTGGCAGCGTGGCGTGGCCGTGGCAGTGGTAGTTCGTGGTAGCGGCATTCGTCATCGTAGTAGGGTTAGTGGTTGTAGCTGTTGTTGGACTTCTAGCTCTAAGCATGGTGCTAGTAGTAGTGTGTAGCTAGAGTCTGTTCCGCTTTTCGGCCAGCTCCGGTCTGTCCTGCTTTGCGCCCCTTGCTGCCAAATGCCCGCCAGGACAATATCCAAGGCAGGCGAGCCTGCGTCCAGCAGGTCGGAAGAGTTGGTAGTACAGGGGTCATCAGATAAAGGAACCTAATAAACTACGGCTGGGGACTCCTACCAACTCTGGTGATGGCTCATCAAGGTCTCCACATCCTCGTACCACAAGGTTTGGGAGACCCGTGAGGATCTTGGGCCGGACATCGGGCTCATTCCCCAGCTTCTTGGACATCGGGCTCACTCGCATCCAACGTCTGGTTTGGCTCAAGAACCTCCGCCTGCGTGTGAATGCTGTCCAAGCTGCCATCGAGACATGGAGCTTGTTTGCTGAACAGGAGAACGGGGACATGCTGTGCATCCTCTTCGAGTTGCTGTCTCCACTCCAGCTTCGCTCGGAGGTCAACGTACTTCTCCAGTATCATTGTCCGTTGCATCTCGAGCCCACCCTCCGGGACCTTGCACTTGAAAACGAAATCACCGTATACAAGGTGGATCTTGTCCGGCTTGCCTCGCGCCGAATTTGTTCGGATGGTTCGCCAACTTGTGACTCGTTTGACGAGCCTGCCCTGGTTGTCGTAATAGGTTTTCATGTCTGCGCTGGCCTGCCTGTCAACAAATTGGGCCAGCGCCAGCAAACTGGACTCATTCTCTGACATGCCAAGCTTGGCGGCGATGTTTGGAACTGGCTCCGGAAATGCCTCGATGTCGAAGTTCTCTTGGCTCAGGGCAGTTTTTGTAGCCTCCATGTTGGTCACGCGGGGATCCGTGCCGGTCAGTGCCTCCTCAGCCTGCGTAACGTGTTTCTGCTCAATTTGGCCTCCACCGCAGATGCAGTGCTTCGCCTTCTGGACAAGGGCATCTGCCAATTGCTGCGTTTTTTCCTTGATTTTCTCCATCGCGGATGGTTGCTTCAGCTGGACGTCAACAACCAAAGTCTTATTGCTGCTTTCTTCCAAGAGATATTCAACATCATCTTCGTTGCTGAGCACTACCACTTCACCTTCGTCATTGATCCATCTCATTTCGAAACTCGTGATGTCCCACTCCAGCTTGGTAAACACCACTGCCAATGAGGCTTTAAACGGGTTCCAGTAAACTGTCTTCATCCTTTCGCCATCATGGCTTGGATCCGGGTGAAAACGCAGCTTGTACTTGATTCTGCGATTTGCGGCATCGGTGCTGGAATTGCTGGATGAGAAGAACGCATGGAAGTCCTCCAGCCGCCTCCACAGCTCTTCGCTGAACTTGCTGCCAAGGTGGCCAGCAACGGCGCTGGAAAAGGTTTCCACCGGCCCTTGGCCCCTAGGCAGTGTCCGCGCCTTCTTGTTCCGCGGCACTCTTGGGAGGCCTCCGACAAAGGGCGTCGGATCTGAAGGAAATGCCGGCATGCGCAGCAAAACTACGGCCAAGCCCATCAGCAGGAACCGAAATCGCCTGGTCATGCCGGCCACCATTGCAACACAATGCGGTCTGAGGGATGTGCGGCTAAGCTGGCTTTGCTGTCGGAACGCAAAAGCTTCGGAGTGCTGGTGTCGCTCCACCGCAAAGTCGACAGCCACTTACCTATCATGTGAACTTAGAAATCCCGTCAAAGTACGCAGCAACTACTTCTATAGGGCGCAAATAATCCACATACCGGCATCTGGACCCTTTTGGGAAAGCCCTCAGCGAGCGCAGGCCCAACGGTTTTTCCTGTCCGAGACCAGCCTAGTGCTACGTGGAACTTTACAGCGAAGAAAGTCTCGCAACAGCCTGACAAAATCTAAAGGGTCCAGGGTCCATGTACCAACACGACATGAACTTCCAAATCAAAGAAAGTTCATGGGTAACTACTTAGTAACTACTTCTAGGGCCCAAACATTCCATGTATCGGCACCTGGACCCTGTGCGGAAACCGGGGAACGAGATGCGGGGCTAGGGGGAAGCCTTCCACAGCGTTCCCTCCTCCCAGTCCGCCATCGGGATGTGCTGCAGCTTAGGCTCGGCCTTCCTCAGCGCGTTGCGCATGATCTCGAAGTCTTGCTGAGGGTTGGGCGACCCCGCCGCGGAACAGTAGAGTCTTTTGCTCTGCCCGTCCTTGGAGGTGTAGTCGATGGCAAAGGCGCCTTTCATGAAGATGCCACGCTGGTAACCAAACAGCATGAGGCCCGGAAGAATGCACCCCACCGTACGGGGAGGGGATGTTTGGACCAAGTTCTTGGTGTTGCCATCCCTGCGCAGGACGGCCACTTTCTGCACTCCCACCTTGAAGAACATGTCGCCTTGTCCGGCGTCACCGATCCTGAAGATTTCTTGGCCGTCCTCCTCGAAGAACAGGTACGCCATGGCCTTCTCCTGCATCTCGACAGCCTCCTGCTGACACAACTTCACGATCTCCTCAATGAGGGCACCCATCTCATGCTGTGGCACTGCTGCCACGGCGGGGTGAAAAGGCCAATGAGACTTCTTGCTCGACCTCTGCTAGCTTGAGGCTAAAAATTTGCCTGGGCGCGGAAATCCTCAATGCAGACCTGGCGGGTCTGGGGTTGCAAAAACAGCAGACACATCAAAGATGTGCCTGGCCATACTCCACCAGCGACACACCTCGGTTTCTGGGTGCTGGTGCGGGGCGCCAAGGAGGGTTCGATGTTTCGAGGGACATCAGCATCAGGGTCCAGCGCCAGGCAAGCGCAATCCAAGAAAGCCACTTCAAGTCAGACTTCTGCTCGCAAAAGCTGTACATCGCCCCGTGCATTGCAAGGCCCATGAAACAACTTACTTACAAAGCCTAAACCCTACACTGCGCGCAGTTGCGCATGCCGGGGGCGCGACCAGCACTCGCTAGGCTCATCAGCCGTGGAGGGATGCCACCCACACCTTAGTGTTTGGGTTTTGAGTGCTAGGGCTGCTAGGGGTTGTGGGAGTTTAAGGGTTTCGGGGCTTTGGGGGTTTGGGGGCTTTGGAGGGGGTAGGGATTCTGGGATTCTGGTGCTCGCAACTTAACAGGGCTGCTTCGACAAGGGCTGCCCTCAAAAAACCTCCGAGATGAAGGCCGATCTTTTTGCAAAGCTCATCCACAAAGTGACAGCCTCGAGTGGGCGCAAGCAAACAACCCTAAACCCTCCACTCTCCACCGGCTGAAACTCAAGGCCCAAGGGACGCAGGCACAGAGAGTTCCGGGTATAGGGTGTAGGGTTTAGGGTTTGGCTTGCTGTTTCGCTCCCAAGCACATGCCACCCCGGTTTCAGCGCCCTGGCCCCTTATTCGGCACTGAGTCCACCGAATCAGGGCGTGGCAATTTCTCCTGAGGACGTTGTAGGCGGCCACTGGCCACGCTGCCTCTCCAAGGATTCTCGAGTCTCGAGGTGTAGCTGGGAAATTTGCAAGGTAGTCCGCAGCAGCAGCAGAGGTTGACTACGAGGATTGCCACGAGCGATGCCAGGTGAAAAGAGTCTTCTCTGAGAATCAACCAAGCACTGCGGGCGGTGAGCCTCCATGTCTGCGACGAGGTTGAGCACTTGCACCTGCCGCAAACAGCACATTCAGTGAGGTTGATCTCAAAAACCGGTTCCTTTTGCAGTGGAACCGACTGAGAAATATCCCCAAACGGGCCTTCCAGGTTACAGGCACACCGGCCAGAAAGGTACATAGGACACAGGAAGATCTACCCAAACCACAACGGAGAACGGAGTGCAGAGCAGAGCATCGGAGATGAGCGAACTGTACACGTGCTTCGTTTCCAACCATACGTCCTACACGTCGTGGATCATGATCTCTATCCCTCGCTCTCCCGCCCTCTCCCTCCCTCCCTCCCTCCCTCTCCCTCCATCCCTCTTCTTCTTCTTATTCTTCTTCTTATTATTATTCTTCTTCTTTTTCTTCTTCTTCTTCTTCTCACTTCTCATGTTTTGCGCGCTCTCTCTCTCTCTCTCTCTCTCTCCCTCTCTCTTTCTTTGGGGCAAGGGGAATGTCCCCCGCGCAGCAGCACGCCCCGGTCCCGCGTCTGGTCGGAGAGTTCTGTACGCGCTCTCTCTAGCTCTTTCTTTCTTTCTTTCTTTGGGGCATGGAGGGAACCCCCCCCGCGCGACAGCGCGCCCCCAGTTCCGCTTGCTCGGACTACTCCCACACTTGCAGCCCTGTTGGCCGCTGCCATCTGAGCTCGGGCCTTGTCGCCCCCCTGCTCGCACCCCCCGCGCCCCGGGCGATACGCCGGTCCAGCGCTCTGCCCAAACGGTTCCCAACCCTCAACCCTCAGCCCCCAACCTCCAAACCTCGCCCTTAGAAGTCGTGACAGCCTGACCCCGACCCTCGACCCCTCACAGAGAACCTTCCCGAAGTCAACCTCCCTTTCCCCCTCTTATTGGGCCCCCTTGCGGAGTGCTTCTCTACTGCTCAGTGGCTGCTCCCCCCCTTTCTCCAACAACCTCATACAGCGCTAGGGATACTAAACAATCATTCTTACGGGCGGGGAGCGTGTGGGTTGTTGGGCCCCCTTTGCGGTGTCCCAGGGTTGGCCCGGAGTGAAACTAAGTGCGGTTGGGCCATGCCGAGGATCTCCCCCCGAAAAGGTGCTACATACAGCCCCCGTAAACCTTTATCAATCCCCTGCAGCCCCCTGGAGTCTACGCCTACGGTGTTCTTCACTCGACGACGACTGCCCCTCATCCTCGCTCAGTACTCGGCGTTGTTGCTGTAGCCCCCATGCCCCCAGCTCATGCACCGGCGGCGGGGACCACACGACTGTGGGCGCTGTTTCTTCTTCTCTCCCACCTTGGGCGTCATCATCGCCTTCGACTTGCTCTCTGCCGCCATCTCCCGGGTTGCTCGGGTTGCTCAACTGGCCCCCTTCCGCGATCGCCTCCTCGCCCAGGTGGATCACCGTGTTCTTCTGGTTGCCACTATCACGATCATGCTCTTGAGGTACTCCCCCTCCCATCGGCTCGTTCATCACGTCGTGCTCCTCCTGCTCGTCCTCGTCCGCGCCCAGGTGCACATCCAGGTCGTCAGCGAGCCCCCCCAGCGGCTCCAGGTGGATCTCCGTGTTCTTTTGGCTGCCACCAATACGATCATGTCCATGTGGTCCGTCCGCGGCCGTCTCGTCCAGGTGGATCTCTGCGTTCTTCTGGTTGCCATTATCACGATCATGCCCGCGCGGTACTTCTTCTCCCACCCCGCAGCCCATCTCTCCCTCGCTCTCGTCCTCGGTCTCCATCCTTGCCCCTGGCCCCCTTGCTTTGCGGCTCACTGGCGGTGCCATTGGCGCCCCCCTCTTTCTGCTTGCACTGTCCGGCTGCTCAGCCCCCCTTTCTCGCACGTCCGCCTCGTCGTCCAGGCGTTGGTCTGCCCAGGCATCCAGCGCGTAGTATGCGTGCCACAGTTCCTCCACGTGGCCTTCCTCCATGAGCCAGAACCGGATGCACAGGTGTTGGGGGTTTAGGGTTGGAGGCATTGGCCCCCCTTGTTTGTGCTTCCACTCCCCCCGCTGCTAAGCCGAGAACGTCCGCAGGGTGCACAGTTTGCCGCTGCGGCCAGCTTGGTTGCTGTGGCAGCTCAGGTGGTGGGGGTTCTGTGGGCCCTTCGCTGCTGGCCGCAGGCCCCCCTTGCATCGGCATCCAGTCATCTTGCAGCACGCAGGCTGCGCCCCCCAGGCATGCTTCAAGGTGCGTGATTACATGCTGCAAGTGCTCACGTGCCCTCTCTGTGCCCCCAACTCTCAGTGCCTCCTCTATTGCCCCCCTGGCCCCGATGATCTCCGTCTCAGCTAGGCCGTGCAGCTCCCAGCTTCTCGTGCGCTGGACCCCATCCAGCCATCTTTCTGCTTGCTGAATCAGCCGCGCCACCGTGCTAACATCTTCCCCGCTCTCCTGCTCGGTGAGCCCCCCCCAGTGTGTGAGAAGGTGTTCGGCGAGGTGTAGGGTTTCCTCCACCGGGTTGTTGGTGGTGGGGAAGGTGCCCCCCATGGTGTGGTTGTGCGGCGATGCTCCTAGGTGGCCCCAAAGGCACCCCTACGCCGCCTGCAGGTGGTTGCCGGCCTTGCGGATGGCCCAACGCATCTCCGTGGTTTCAGCTCGCCCTCCCCGCAGGAGTATGGCCTCCATGGCCGTGGTTATGTGTCTTAGAGCTTCACCCTCCGGCGTTGCCGGGGGGTGTGTGGAGGTTGTGGGTGTGGGGTGAGCGGTAGGGGAGGTCACGTGTTGCATGTGGGAGGGTGTGCGTGGTTGACCCCTCCTCTGCATGAGGTCGGTGTGGTCGGGTTCCGCGTGCGTATGAGGCGGGTCTCCTCCCTGTTGTTGTGTGTGGGTGCTCGTGGTGGCTGTGGCAGTGGTGTCAGTGGTAGTGTCGGTGGTGCTGCCCGCCTGGGGGTTCGTGTCGGGCGCGTTGGGTGTGTCAGCGTGGTCCCCCTCAGGTTCCCCCTGATACGCGCCCGGGCGGTTGTGTAGGGGGGTGACAATCGAGGGTTGGACACGGGCGCCCACTGGTGGCACGTCGGGCGTGATCTGCGCGAAGTCCCCTGCCCGGAGTGGTGCTGCTCCCGGCGTGGTCTGCCCCCCCCTCCCTTCTCGCGCCTCCGCCGTGTTTGTCACGGCTAGGACCCACAGATCGGCCCCCAGCAGCTTTCTTAACTCCCCGTCCAGTCCGGTGGCGAGCGGGAGTCCACGGTTCGGCTGGGTGTGTCTGGGTGTGTGCTCTGGTCTTTGGATTACCCTGCGCCCCGGGGGAATGTAGAGGTGGCCAGGCCGTATGCGGACATGCCATTGCGCACGGCCCCGCACCCCCATGTGGAAGATGGCTTGGTCTTGCGGGAATAGGGGAAGTATGGGCGGTCCGTCAATAGCCCAATCCCACAGCCCTTCTTCCCCGTCGTCGGGGTCCGGGTCGGCATCATGTTCTGGCCCCCCCGAGGAGCTGGCATCGTCAGTGCTACTCCAGTGCGTCTCTGAGATGTCGTCTGGGGGGGTTTGTGGATTTTGCCCTCGCGGGCGTGTCGGGTGTGTCGGTTGTGTGGCCCCTCGTTGCTGATTGCCGGCTTGCTCCTGGGCTAGGCGTTGCTCGTAGCGGGCTCTGTCTTCCGTGTCTTGCTTGCTCCCCGGCTGGATCGTGGTGGGCCGGTGGTGTGTGGGTTCATCCGCCAGCCCCCCCCTGCTTTGTGTGCTGGGAGTGTCTGTTGTGGCCACCAGCTCCCCTCCCCCCGCTGCGCTGGATTGGTCGTCCCCCCTCGGCTTGCTTTGGCTCGGAGATGCTTCTCCAGAGTCGCCCCCCTGGTGTTGTTCGTAGCGTGTATGGTCTTCCGTGTATTGCTTGGTGCCTGGCTGCGGCTGCTGCAGTGTCGACGCAGGCTGCGGGCGGTGTCGGTGCCTGTTCAGCATCTCCGCCCAGTCCACCGGTGCTGCGCTTGCACTGGCCCCCCCTGTGTTGGTGTCCCCCCTCCACGCGAGCCCCCCCCTGTTGTACTGCTGCACCCTTGCTTGTGCTTGTTGCTGCTGCTTTCGCAACCATGCCAGCCACGCCTTGTTAGCTCGGTTTCGCATCCTCTGCTCCCCCTGCCCCTCGTGTTTGTTGCGGAGCCACCTCGCTGCTGCCTCCTCGGGTGTTTCGACCCCCCCCCCCCCATCGTGGTGTGCATCGGTTGGGGGTTGGGCATCCCCAGCTGCTGGGCTGCCTGCTGTGTGCATGTGCGCGGGGCCCGCGGGGTGAGTCTGTGTGTCCTTTGTCTGTTGGGTTGCTGTGGGTTGGTGGTCGCCATCGCTCCGGTGCTGGTCTGTCAGTGGCTGCGGTGGTGGTGGTTTGGGCCATGCTGGTGCTGCGCCGGAGGGCTTGTGTGTATGTGGAGTGCGCAACGCGTCGGTCTGCTGGGTTGTTGCCGGCTGATGGTCGCCATCTCCCTGGTGATGCTCTGTGGGTGGCTGCGGGGGCGGTGGCTTGGTTCGCTGTGGTGTTTGGGTGGGTTGTTTGTCCGTGTGGGGGGTCTGCGGTGGCTCGGGTTGTCGGAATGCTGCCGGTCGGTGCTCATCATCGTCCGAGTGCTGGGCTGCCGGTTGTTGTGGTGGTGGTGGTGGTGGTGGTGGTGGTGGTGGTGGTGGCTTGGTTCGAATGGGCGTGTGCGACTTGTCTTGGCCCTTGGGAGGGGGCATACTGGCTTGCTCATCTCGCGGCTGTGTGTCTGGGGAAGTCTGGGCTGGCTGCGTCGGCGGTGGCTTGGCTGTCTGCTGCGCTCCTTGTTGCCCCCCTGCATGTGCTGTTGGTTGGGTTCCGGGGTGCCCCCCGGGCGGTTGTTTGGTGGGTGGTGCTTGTTGCTGGAGGCGTTTGGGCGCCGGCTCCGGCGGCACTTTTGGTGTAGCGGGGAGCTGGTCAAGGGCCCCCGGTGGGCGGGGTGGCGGTTTGGGCTTGGCCTCGACGGGTTCATAGCCGGTCGGTAGGGTGCGGCTCTCTGAGGTGGGTGGTCCGGTTGTGGGTGCTGGTCGTTGGTGCTCGCCATGTGGAGGGCCGCTTTAGCCAGGTGCGTCCAGGCGATGGCGAGGTGCATTTCCGCCCCCAGTCTTATTGTTCCAGGGCGGGTGGGCCCTGCCTCATTCCGGGTCCCCCTGGGCGCCGTGGCTTGTGGGTGGGGTGGCTGTGGTAGTGTTGGTGGGCCCCCTGCCGCTGCGGCATGAGCTGGCAGCGCTGGTTCTGCGGGGTGCCACGGATCGTATTCGGGGACATAGTGGCCGCCGGTGATGGCACACGTGGGTTGCGCCGGTTGGGTGGGAGGGCTGTCAGTGTCGGTGTCCCCTGGTGGCCCTGTGGTTGGCGTTTGCCATGGGTCCCCCCATGGGTTGACTTGGTCCGGGTCAGTGGTTGCTGTCTGTCTCTCTCTCTCTCTCTCTCTCCCTCTCTTGCTCAATAGATGCATCGAGCAATGGTCGAGACAATGAAAGGCACGTTACAAGCCTCGGTCTTGGACGTGAAGCCCATGGACACCTTAGTTCCAAAAAGTGCTTGGGGCGGCCCGGGTGTTGGGCTTCTGGGAGCGAAAAATCCGAAATCCCTTGAACGACCTGTCTAAACGACCGTGTAGAACCGAAACTGACTCGGACACGCTCAGGGCGCATGCAAAACTCGTAGACTCGCAGCCGTCGCGACTGAGATGAGAACAGATTCGACGTAACGGTGTCCGGGACCTGACAGATCTGATAGAGGGATGAAATATGCTAGCAGAGCTTCAGGGGTGCTACGTGAGATTTCTCCGAGAACCGGGTGTCCAGACTCTGCTTCGGCCAGGCACTGAAGACGCCGGTGCGCGCCCGCTCCTCTGCCTGAGTCTCAGCCCGCTCTGGAAACCTGAGACAGCCTCCAACCACACCCTACACAGCCCTACACGTTTCAAGGCCTGCAGGCTGCAGTTTTTGAGTTGGGGGCTGGCGCGCTGAATCCTCTGCCCGGCCCCTTCTTAAAGCTCAACTAACGGCCTGTCACAGCAACAGAGGAGCGCGACGAGTACAGCCGGCACTGGACACATCTGGACACCGAGTCTGGGCGCCCAAGCAGTGCAGTTCATGATGTCGGAGAAGCTCCACTCCAAGCCGTAGATCTGGCGTCTCCACTAGTGTTTTTACTATCATGATACGATTCGATTTTGCAAATACACACATAAGTATGTGTGTATATGCAGATATATGACTCGAGCTTATAGTGTTTGGTAAGGCGCTCCACAAGCAGTCGTAGTCGCAACAAGAACCGGTCCCTTTTGGGTACCACAATTTTCGTATCAACAGAGGTGTCCGAGCAAGAATCTCCGGTACCCTAAGCCTAAGAGGAAACTACAAAACGCACGAAAAAATGCACAAGGCTGAAAGCTGACTGGTTCTTGGCAGGGAATGAGAGAATCAGGGGCCCACACAGAGGTACCTAGAGGGGTATCGACTATCGGTACAAGGTACTTTGTTCCATACTGCCCCCCCAAACCCCTAAACCCTAAACCCCTAAACCCCTAAACCCCTAAACCCCTAAACCCCTAAACCCCTAGACCCCTAGACCCCTAGACCCCTAGACCCCTAAACCCCTAAACCCCTACACCCCTAACCCCGAAAACCGAAACCCTCGACCCTAAACCCTACTTCCCTACGAGGAAAGGGCGAACGCCACCTCCACGCCGCAGTGGAAAGCTCCTGTGCCGAAAGGCCTGAGGACCTCGGACTGCTGATCCAGGGTTTATGGGCTTCTTAGGGTTTGGAGTTTCGGGTAGAGGGTTTGCAGTTTAGGGTTTAGAGTTTAGGGTTTATAGAGCTTATAAAGGGTTTAGGGTTTACAGGGTTGGAGGTTTTAATAGCTACTTGAACGGGTGTGCTGCTGGCTTTGTTTCGAGTTGCCTCATGCTTCTGCACCATGGGGCCGACAGAACATCCAGGAAACCCCAGCCGCAACAAACGAACGCAGGGACTGCTCCTGTTCTGAAGAGCCTTTCCAAAGCCTGAACGGGTGAAACGCTTCTTGTGTCCATACCGGTGGATGCTTAAGCCATGTCTCCCGCATCATGAGCTTTGCAGAAGATTCTGAACCCTGATCCCTAAACCCGAACACTCGCAAATCCCAAAGCCCGAAACCTGCAAGGGGCCCCTCTTCCGACCCACTTGACTTGGAGGTTCATGGGTAGGGTTATAACTAGGATCAGTATGGTGAAGACCGGATACGAGCGTGTTTAAGATACAAGCAACCCCGCTTTGAAGCACGCATGAGCCTCCCAGCACTCTGGGTGTCGGGCCGAGTTCAACAGGGAGATACGCTCGGACGCTCCCAGGTCGTAGACGTGGACGGAGACCTTTGGGGACTTTGGTGGCTGCTGCGTCGGCTGAATCTTCGAAGTGCCCGCCATCACGGCCCGAGAACAAACCCTAAGCCTACACTCCCAAGGCCACAAACCCTGAACCCCCAAACCCCTTTGTGCATCCAGGCCTCTGTCAGGTTTGCTGACCCCTAAACCCCCTAACCCCCAAACCCTTGACCCTGAACCCCCCCCCCACAAACAAAACAAGAAAATACATTACATAAATGAAAACAAACATATACATATTTAAATATATATATATATTATTAATTACTAATTTATCTATCTATTTCATATAAATAGAGAAACAAACAAACCGAAGCCCGAGTTCCCTGCCGGAACGGGCTTGGAAGAGATGGGCCGCGCGCCAACTCGGGGGGGGGGGGCAACGTCGTTTGCGGGCGTTGGGAATCATGCGGGGGGCAGGGGGGGTATTTAGGGTTTAGGGTTGAGGGTTTAGGGTTTAGGGTTGAAGTTTTGGGATTTGGGGCTTTGGGGCTTATCAAGGTTTAACCAATGAGTTGACACCCGCTGCATGGCCCTGACGCTTTGTCAGGCTATGCTAGGCCCTAAACCCTCTTGAGGCTCAGGGGTTCTGAAGCCCACCTGCATCTCCGCCATCGAAGCGGCTACAGTTGGTGCCTGGCAGGTTGTCGAGACCACAGCATGGCGATCGCGAACAGCATCCTCCGCCCCCTCAACCTGAAAGCTCAAGCCGGAAACCCTGGCGGCGATACCCATGGCGCCGGGCCCACAGCAACACCTCTGGATCGGCTTCGATTCAGGAGGGGGTGATTATATAAGGGGCTGGAGCACAAGACAAGGCGGATCCTACAGAAGCAGACGCACATAACCTGGAAAAGCTTAAAAGCCCTTTGCCTGCTGAGGCCGGAGCCGTCCCTGCTCTCACCGACTCAGCGCATGTGGCCGCGGCGTACGGCAGTTCCGGATCGGTGTGGTATTTGGGGGAATGCTGCGGTCTTGGGGCTCTACGTGTCAATTTGTTGCGATAGGCTTGGTGAACGTTGGTATCATACTCTCCTCCTGGGCAAATCTTGGCGGTGGTCTGACTTGACAGGGTCGACACAAAGAATGGAATGCCTAGCCATGTCCAGCTTGAATGACCCCGCTCATTCTTCTCATAACACGGGCGGCTGGCTGCTGGAAGCATTGAGCACACAGGTCAGCCGTTCCAAGCTTGCATGACCCGTGAGATCTCGTCGTCGTCTGACACGGTACAGCTGTGCTGGGTGAACCGCAAGAAACATGTGGCTCAAACAAAGCTGCTTCTTCCTAGCATTGCGCACGAATAGAAAACCTCAAACCACGAACGCGATGAAGCAAAGCGCCTGGGCCATCGCGGATCTTCACCTCCCAGCAGGAGGAGGGATGCGGAGGCCCGAGCGGTCACACCATGTCAGACCCATGGGCAGTTGGATACTTTGGGGGCTCGAGGATGCCCAGGAGGGTGGATGTTCCGTGGCATTAGCTTCACTATGAAGTTGGTCCAACCAAGGCACGCGACCCTGTTTAGAAGTGTCTGCTAGGAGTCAACCGGAAGGGGCAGGCGAACCCAAAGACATGGAAGCCTTCACGTAAATCTGGAGCCCTCAAATCGCTGCAGCTCTCAAGCGCGTCCGGTGCTTCTTTTCCCCTCGGCCGTGATCTGGCTTGCTTCAGCCAAGTCCTGCAACAAGGCCCTTGAACCATGAGACTTAAGCCTAAGTCTCTTCAAGTATCCCTCAATACAAGTCAGCAGCTCAGTTTCATGGATTTGCATGGTTCGGAACTCTAAACACTGGGAGCCGCCTAAACACCGAGATAATTCTGTCTAATCCCTAGATTGGTCCTAGACGGGCAACAGAGCCTTGCTGCATATAGGTACGGATACAAGGGTACATGTTGGATGTAGGTTATGACCCAAACATACTGAGGACATGTACCACAACAGGGGACATGCACTGGGAGTACTTTTTGGGAATCCTGATGGTTCTTGAGGGTGTGGAGTCGTGCATCTGGAAACGTGCCGTCCCTTTGGAAAATATGAAGGGACTAAACTGACTGCAGTCGCTCCAAAGCCTTACAACTCCCCAGCCCCAAACCCCACTGTAGCGTGTTCAGGGTTCAGGTGGGGTGGTTGGAATTTAGTGTTTTGGCTTAGGGCTTAGATCCGAGGCGCCACAGAAAAACCCTAAAACCCCTAAACCCTAGAGCCCCTAAACCCTAAAGCCCCTAAACCCTGAACCCTACACCCTAAACCCTAAACCCTAAACCCTAAACCTAGTCATCCCCCGGCGTCCCGGCAGTAGTCGTCTGGAAGTTGCAGCCGAACAAAGGACCGCGAGAGACTGGCCAGGTCCTGGAAACTTCTTTAGCAGGCCCGACTCTATGGAGGGTTTAGGGCTTAGGGTTTAGGGTTTCGGGTTTAGGGTTTCGGGTTTCGGGTTTAGGGTTTCGGGTTTAGGGTTTGGGCTTAGGGCTTGGGGCTTGGGGCTTGGGCTTGGGGCTTGGGGCTTGGGGCTTGGGGCTTGGGGCTTGGGGCTTAGGGGCTTAGGGCTTAGGGCTTAGGGCTTAGGGCTTAGGGTGAAAGGTCTAGGGTTTAGCGGCTCAGGACTTCAGTGAGTCTGGGTTTCGTGTTCAGGGCTTTCGCCTTCGCCTGATTTGGGTTCTCATGTTTTATCAGTGTCCTTTGCAGAACAGCTCTTCGAATGCCCTTGCAGGGCCAGGAGAAGCTGAATTTGCGGAGGAGCCCTCGAGTCTTTTCGGCACATGCTTTCTTTTCTGCGCGGGATCTGGAGCCCTCCTGCCACGATAAACCCTACACCCAGAGCCCTAGCTCTAAATCCTGCACTCTTGGTCAGTCGACAAAACAACCCGAGCTGCGAAGGTCTTCCAAGGACCTAGATACTGCAAGAATACCCCCTCTGGGGGTATTCTTGCTTCTGTTGTCCTTCTCATGTGTGGGCCCCTAACCCCCACTATCCAAGCACCTAAAGTAAGTAAACCCCATAATGCGGTTGGGCAACCCCAGGTTCGAAGGCAGCAGGGGCCACACGCGCGGCCCGCGCCAAGGCCTCCCGGTTTTAATGTTTAAGGCTTTAGATTTGACCAGGAAGCGCGCAGAAATAGGAGGTGTGGAGTCCAGGAAGGAACACATGAGACTCAGTCGAAACTCGCTTGCTGTGCGGTCACCTCCGACTAGCGCGGCAAGTCTGCCAAAACTCCGAAAGCTTCCATGGGCCCCCTGCCCTGCGTGAACTTGGCTTCAGACGTCTACATTCAGGTTGATCACTCGTTGATCCATATGTGTGGCTACCGTCCAACTCGGGAACTATCTTCAGGAACTGTGTAGCCGATGCCAGTCCCAGAATTCGGGACAAGGCTAGATTCCGGAACCCGATTCGGAACTGCCTGTGCCAACTCAGGAACCGCAAGGAACCGTCATGGCAAGATTCAGGCACAAATGGCTCCTGATGTGGCACAGTTTTAACCCTAAACCCTGAATTGCGACCTCCTGGTTCCCTGAATTGTGTCCTGTTGTTCCTGAGTGCGGACCCGTGAGTTCTCCTGTCGTTGGCCTGAGTTGCACCATGCGGTTCCTGAATTCTGTGCCTGAATTTCAGGGCCAGTTCCTGAACAGGACTACACTCGTTGAACCCTTGATTGGTGCCCTACCCTTCCGCACGATGCCCTCCTTCAGACGGGAGCCATGGCATGAAACATCCTTTGTAACCCCACAACGTGTCGTTTTGTCGGTTCGTGTTCAATAAAGTTCAAGCCCTTTGCAAGATTCTCAAGTAACCTGCAAAAAGGGGTTGTGCTGAGCATCAGCCAAGTGGTAAGAGAGAGAGGGAGAAGGTAAGAGAGAGAACGTCAGCGCCTCCCGCAGCGCGGCGGAAGCTCCAGGCAGGCACGCAGCTGCGTGGGCCATGCGGGCGAGATGCTTCGGCCCGAAGTGACCTGAGCAAAGGCAAACCCTCGTCACTTGTGCCCAGGTCCAAATTTTCACATCACATTCCCGGCACGAATCGGCAACCCCAGAGGTGAAGTGGCGACAAGGACTGCATCCACCACAGGTCTTGGAACTTCGGCATGAATCCAAGCCGATCGCCACAAGGAGTTCTTGACGATGGGACCCACTACACGATACTTGGAAGTCGACAAGGGGCTCCCTCTTTGCAAGACATCCGCAGCTCAGTTGATCATTGAGAGTGCTTCTGGGAGAGCCAGCCTACGTGGATTTGGCCACACCCTTATCTTTGCGAGGATTGTACCGGTTCATGTCTGCAACTCGCACCCTCGCAAACGGCTTGGACTGTCCCGTGCAATCTTGAAAGCTGGTCACCGACCTTCTCCTAGACGAACGCACCACAGCTTACCCACTCGATGCGCCACTGTACCTCGCGTGAGGAGGTGGACCACGATGCCTGGCTGCATTGCATAGTCACCTACAAGCCGTGCCTACATGGAAAGTGCCCCACGCGAACGCCACACAGCAACCCTGCGGAACAAAGCAGCTTTCAGTCGGAGCCGGCACTGCTGAAGAAAAGCTGCAAGCGCGGCGTAGCTGAAAAACGTAGGGCGGCCAAGTCCAAACGTCAAAGAACATCTCCGCGGCCCAGCAAGCTGCTAAGCCCGCTGAGCTTCGATACTTCGACGCAGCAGCGTGCACGCAGCCCACTGTCGCTCGTATGGTGCATCGGCTCGACACAGGCATGTGTTGGTTCACCGAGGCCCTAAGACGATCTAAGACTGGTTCTAGATTCATTATCCCATCCTACTCGCCGGCAGACCTGTCTCCCGAAAGGAAATCCGGTATCTGCGGCTCTAAGGCCAGCACCATACGTCAGCTGCGCAACAATCGTGGGCTCCAAGGCGGACAGTAGCCCTGAGAAGACAACTTAGGGTTTTCCCAAGGCCCCCCCAAAGCCTGATTCACTCGACACCACCCTCGGCCCCCAGGCGACATATTCACTGCTTCAAGATCACTCAGGAATGATAAGGGCTTCGCAAACACATTTATTTCGCTTTGAACAATTTGTAGCTTTTCAGGGCATGCCATTTGTCTCCTTTTGCTCTAAACCATAAAGCCATTTCGCGTCGGTGACGCAGAAGACGAGCGACGCTCCCCCTCTGCGGGCAGCATCTCTGCCAGGCCCGAGAGCACGGCGGACAGCGTGGCCTGGGTTCGGCGTGGGAGGCCCAGGAACTTTACGGTTTTTCTTCTGCTTAGGGGAGTTTAGGGTTTTGGGGCTTAGGGCCCGAAATCTTGCAGAACTGCTACCGCTTGGAGCTCAAAACTGCCAGAAGGACCGAGATCATCATCCCAGGCCCTCCGTGGAGGCAGCTTACATGATCTACGAGAGGGTGCATCAAGAGATGTATGGAGCACTAAGGACTCTACAGTACTTAGACAGCCTGCATCAACCTGCCAGAATATGCAAGCTGCCGGAGAGAGCAGGCTTCTTGAAGGCCTGTCGCCCGGCTCACATCGAATCCTTGGCTCCCATCTGGGTCTGATAGGTGGGCAAACATGGAGTTCCCAATGCTTACAGAAAAACTCAGCTGTATGGCTCCACGCATTAAAAAGTGGCCTCCAACACAATCCCATTTCAGGAAAAACTCACCGGTCCTGCCGAGCTCTGCAAGGGACCTGAAGGCTCCAAAAGGCCACCATCGTTGCCCTTGCCGAGATGCCCCACCTCCTCTGCAGCCAGTGCCAACAGGACTGCGCCCTGCGGCAGAGGGCTTTGCTTTGGGATTCGTTCGAGTTTGGGGTTTTTGGGGAGCCTATAGGGTAGCTTCTTGAAATGGAGATGATCGCTGCCTTGGGCCCTTATCAAGCCTCAAGGGGGCCCATTGAACCCCGAGACCTTCAGCCCAAAGAAGCGGCACCTTTACAGAAACCGCACGCGCAGAGTTCTCTACAAGATGTTCGTTTTTCGAGAGTTCCTGCAACACGGAGCATGCTACTTCGGGAATCTTCGGGAAACCCCAACGGCACCATCAGCTTAGAGCACTGCCCACCTCCGAGGCCAAACCCTACACCCTAAGCCCTGCAACCTAAACCCGAACCCTAAACCCTAAACACTGATTCCTTACCCCTGAACCCAACCCTCTTTCCAACCGGCCCTCTGTTTAACCGGCCTCGTGAGTCGCCAAGCCCAACTTCTGCACCGAAACCACCAAAGACGCCAGCGATGCCTCCGATGCTTGGACGCTGTGGCTCCCCAACTCGACAAAACCTGTAACTACTACTTGCTTAAGAACCCCAAAAGAATATATTTTTGGGGGGTTCTTAAGGGGACTCCGTGGCTTCAGGATTGTCCGCATGACGTCTCGCGTAAGCCCTATACCCCCAGACCCTATAACCCTATTGCCCTGAACCCTCAACCCCAAGCCCTATAACCCTGAACCCTATCATCCTCAACCTTGAAACTAAACCCCAGAACCCCATAACCCCATAACCCCAGAACCCCATGACCCCATAACCCCAGAACCCCATGACCCCAGAACCCCCTAACCCCAGAACCCCAGAACCCCATAACCCCATAACCCCATAACCCCAGAACCCCAGAACCCCATAACCCCATAACCCTAGAACCCCATAACCCCATAACCCCACAACCCTATAACCCCATAACCCCAGAACCCTATAACCCTATAGCCCTATAACCCTGTAACCCTCTAAGCCTATCACCCTATAACCCTATAATAACCCTGAACCCTTGTGCCTCGGGGAGCTCAGAGAGGCCCAGGGCCCCGAGCCGCGCGGCAGCCGGGAGGACGGCCTCCGCCTGTTTTCGCCGTTCTTTTGGACTTAGGGTTTCGGCTAGGGTTTTTAGGGTTTTTGAGGGTTTTTGAGGGTTTTTGAGGGTTTTTTGAGGGCTTTTTCGGGTTTTGTTTTGAAGTGTTTAGGGTTGTTTTGGTGGACGGGAGCTCTTTTTTGGTTTGCAGCGTTGACCCCTGGCCCTAAAATCCGGTGTGCAAGGTGCAGTGTAGAGTGTAGAGAAGATCAGATAGAGAGTATGTCGGTGGTGCCGCAAACGTGCAATTGAAACTACTTTCTAGTACCCCAAATTTGACTTGAGCGCCCGCATCATCTCAAGAAGAATAGGGACTCCCAAGAACCCATCCAATGCAGTTCAGGCAAGTGTTGGAGGGCAGGTCCCACCTGCACAGCGACCTCTGCGGCCGCCCAGAGCATGGTGGAAAGCTGCGAGCTGCTGAACTGCCCGAGCCGCCCACGTGCCTCCCGGCAGCACTGGCATTGGGGTCTAGGAGTAGGGTTTTGGGGTTTAGGTTTAGGGATGGTTTAGGGGTTTAGTTCGGGTTCAGGGTTTACAGTAGGGTTTTGACAGGCCGCTCCCTCAGCGAAGCAGTTTCGGCCATACCTTACCATGTCGCCTTGAAGGACACAGGCGCTATTGAGCAAATCAGCGAATCTGCCCCTCTGCGGAAACACGACCCTCCGGAGACCACGGACGAACTTGCGCTGCAGCAGGCCTCGCTGATGGCTGCCTGGCCACAACAAGTGCTTCACAACGTATCTAACATGGAGGATTTCGAGAAGTTGGGCTTCCAGGAGGCGGGCTTCGAACTTGAGGACGAGATGACTCGGCAGGGAAAATCTAACAACTTTCCAATCGCATCAGGCCTCCAAGAGCGAAACTCCAACGGCACCTCAGCAGCGAACCCTGATCCGAAACCCGAAGAACCTGCAAGTTAAGCGAAGAATCCGGCCGACACAGGCTTAAGATTCTGCAGTAGCCCTAAACCCTAAACCCAAAAACCCTGAATGTAAGGATTGGGCCCTTGAGCATTGTGGGCTACCCCTCAAATCCACCAGGGCATCAAAGATCGAACTCTAGGAAGCGTCGTTTGGGTCCCGGGCCGAAGTGGCGCCTGCCTTGCACCAGGACCTCAGTTAGTGCGGTTTTGGGGTTTAGGGTTTAGGGTTTAAGGTTTAGGGTTTAGGGTCTAGGGTCTAGGGTTTAGGGTTTAGGGTTTAGGGTTTAGGGTTTAGGGTTTAGGGTTTAGGGTTTAGGGATAGGGCATGCCAGGAACTCCTGTACATGTGTTGGCACGGAACATGGCAGGGCAAAAACAATTGTGGAGGACTGGATGGTATGTGGGCAGGCCCCTACTAGATTCTGGCTCGTTTTTGGGCTAGCCACGGCACCCGAAAAAGAAAAAGACGACAAGGCTCCATGCCAGAATAGAAGCCCGAAAAGGACCAAGACCCCAAAACCCTAAAACCCCAAACCCCTAAACCCCAAACCCCTAAACCCCAAAAGCCCAAACCCCTGAACCCCAAACCCCTAGAAACCCCAAAAGCCCAAAACCCTAGACCCTAAAAATCCCTGAACCCCTTCTCTCTGCCGAGGCTCCCAAGCCAACCTGCAGAGCTCTGCCTCCGTGGCCTGCGAGAGCCTGGGGCCAACCTCCGGGGCGCCAAGCAGATGGTATTAGGGGCCCAAAGAAACCACATAGACAGAAGGATATATAAGGATCCTACTATTGGGTATAGGGGCCCCTATACGGGGATTCGGGCTCCTAGGTATATGGTTTACTGATGATCATCTTGGAAAAATGTGGAAGTAGTAGGACCCGTAATAAACGCATGGATCATCTTGGTCATGTCAAGAATTTTAAGTCATACTCATGAAATTCACAATCTTGAGTCATGACTATATGGTTTGGTGATGTTCAACGGCTGCTGCAGCTCCAGGAGACGTTCGAGGGTTGAGGCCAAGGGCTTCGGTTCCCAGACACAAAGCGGCCCAGCCACCTCGACCGCCATGCAGCACAGCCTCTCCGAACCCAGCTCGTCTAGCGCAGGCGCACGGGCACAGGCCCAGAGAAGGGCAATCTGCGTGGAGGTGCCAAAGGTCTGCGGTTTTCGCAGCTCCAGGTCCTCCATGAGGCGGGCCTGTAGCACACTCTTGTTGCCATCTGTCTTCCTGCCTCTTCCTGTCAATGCTCTCTACTTGTGATGCCACCGCGCTATCACAGCCAAAGCTCCCCTCTTCTTCTTCTGGGGCACTACCGCCGGAGTGCCAACCGGACCCAGGTTGGCCAGGGCAGCGGACACCTGTGCAGGGCTGCGCTTGTTCGTTGATGTCAGGTTCTGCACAGCAAGCTCCTCTTCAACTCTGACCCTTTCTCACCCTCCATGCTCGCAACCACAGTGAACCCATCTGAACCCCATCGCATCCCAAACCCCTCACACGCCTGGCGCAGCGCCGCCTCGTCGAACCCCGGGGTGCGGGCCGCCACCGCCTCTGCAGGCGGAGTTCATGGGAGCACAAAGGGTTGAGTTTAAAGTGTCAGCGCTTCTGTGGATGATTCGGGCCTCGAGCAGCGCGCTCTGGGCAGGTGAATGCCGGGCCTGTGCGGGCTCGCGGGCCCCTTGAGGTGGTTGGGCAGGAGGGAGGTGCACCCAGCAAACAAAGCCCTCTGCTGCAAAGTCTCAGCGGCCATGGCTGACAGCACCTTGCAGACACTTGACTTCTGGTGAACACTTGAAGGCTCAGGACCTGCAACTTGATCATTCAACAGAACCCGTCCTTTGGTTCTTCAGCCTCCGAATGATGTGAACATGCCCTTCATCTGCCCTTCATGCTACGTCTCTCCGTACGTCATGTCCATCGTGCACATTCTCTGCTGTGTTTCAGCCGAGCTGCGCCGGCCAAGGTCCTTCAAGTTTCGGGACGCTGGACAACAAGCAGCTCCCTTTGGATTCCCATATCCCTATCGCTAGCGGTAAAAGTTATTGAGATGCGCAGGCGCATTCTCCCGCACCGCAGCGTCACTACGAGGACGTGGGCTTCACGCAGTACTGCAGGTGAAAGAGCCTTCAAGCACAATACCTATTTCTCACATCCGAGGGAGCTTGTTGAAATTGTTGGTCGTGATCCTGGTGGTCGAAACTCCCGAACATTGAAAAAGTTGCTGAAGCGAACCCCGAAAAGGGACCCGATTATTCGGAACCCTCAAACACCTACACATAAGCGGCCGGCCTATCCGACATCGAGGCAACCACCTGCTCGGGCTGTCAAGCACATTGGGGCACTGGATTGCTGTCAAGGAATTTCTGTAAGTTCTATGATGGGGGGTGTCGGTCTGTTTGCCGCATGCTGTGAATCCCTCTCCTCTTGCGGGGAGCTGGGGTGCCGTATGCGGGGTCCCAAAAAAGAAGCAGCAGTCTGGGTTTGTTTCTGGTCGCTGGAATATCAGTTCTCCCTCTGACGATACGGAAAGACACCTCGAGACTGACGCATTCAGGCCCTTCCGCCCCAGCAAAGACTGGAGGCCTCTGGCTCCTCGGCGGCCCGGAAGGCCTCAACACACAGATAGAGTTTAGGGTTTAGGGTTTTGGGTTTAGGGTTTAGGGGTTTAGGGTTTAGGGCTTCTCATGGTTCACGCCACTTTGAAGTACGGCTCAGGCGCATTTTTCCGCGGGCCGCTGTCCACCAAGCTCCTCAGCCCCCCCTCCCCCCCGCCCCCCCGTCCCTGGCCATCACAAACTGCAAGCTATCTTTAAATCTTGAAACCTCGAACACTTGGCGATAAAGAAACGCGTCCGGTCCTCCACTCCACTTGAGGAACCAACTGGAACCACCAGGAAGTTAGGGTTTGGGTTTTTAGGGTTTAGGCGTTTAGGGTTTGTAGGTTTAGGGCTTAAAGGTTGAGAGTCTAGGGCTTCGGGGGGTTCAAGGGGTTTGGGGGTCCTCGCCTGTAGGTCGGTGCCACTTCGCGCTGCTGCCAGGGCCGTGAGCAGCGGCCCCAGGTCTTGGTCCAGCCGGGGCAGCCTCTTCACCCTACAAACCCCTAGCACCCTCCCTGTAACCCTGTGGAACCCTAGAACCCTCTATAACCCAAGACCCCTATGAACCCTCTAACCCTTATCCCTATACCCCAGGAATGTGTGCGTGGCAGCTCCGGGATCATGGGGCTTCTTTGGGGGGGCTGGAGGGCTCTTCACGTTGAGGAAAGCCCGGAAGTTTGCCAAAGACAAATGGGAATCCGCTTCTTCTGATCTAATGGCATCTTTCATCTTTTTAGGGCTAAAAGCCTTCAGCGTCATCCCACCTCAACTCCTGCCCCTCCCCCGGGCCTCTCAGCCACCACCTGGTCCAGCGCCCGCCAGGTCGGGCTCTCGGGGCGGGCAAGGGTGGCGAGACTCCTGGAGCCGAAGATCTTTAGGCTTTTGAGGTGCTTAGGGTCTCTGGGGGCTTTCATGTAGGGAAAGTCGTATCGCCCGTGCACATGGCCCAACCGCCAAATCTCGTGCAAGAGTGGTCATAAGGCTGGCAATCGTAACAACCAAGAGCAGGGCGTCAAACATCAAGAGGCAATCTCGACACTCCTGACGCTCTTGCTTGCGCAACAGATAGCGGTTCAACGTAGAGGGCTTCGCCTTGCCCATGCCATACTGTGTCGCCGGGTTGTATGATGTGCTTGCCCCCGTGGGCACAGTCAGGTCAGTCCCAAAGGTCCTGCTGTCTCCATCCCCATGGCATCAGATTTGGGAATCTGAGAGCTGCCCTTGCAAGGAACTGTAGGGAGTAGGGCGTTTTACCTGATACAAGTAGGGGCTACTGAGGCTACTGTGGGGACTACATAAGTTGGGCAGGGATGGTACCTCAATGCGAGGCTTCTGCCCGCGAAGAGAACATGCTCTGAAACCCAAGGTCTGGAATGGCTTCATGGGCCAGACCCGACCAAGCAAAAGCCGAGATCCGAGCTATCAGCCCTGGCCGAACTGTGATTAGGAAAGCTTTTTCTTCCTTTTCCCCCGTGCTCCTGGCCAATCGCAGCAGTTCCTCCCGGCAGGTCAGGCATGGTGGGAGCAAGCCCCGCACAGAGTACTACGGGTCCAACGGGGCGATCCGATGCCGGGGTCAACAATCTTTTGCGTGTTGCAGAAGCGGGTCGGGGATTAGTCAAGCGCGGGGACCCCACGTGGTCTCTTTGTCATTCTTTGTCGCTCACCGATGCTCGCAGAGAGCAGCGGTAGGTACTGTTTGCAACCCGAGACATGCAACTTGCAGCAGCTGGCACCGCCGCTGCATCCGAAACCTGCAGCCCAAATCCCAACAATTGGCTGCTTGTTCCAGAGCCGTAGTGCCTTGTCGGGCAGCTCGGCGACAAAGGACTCCGCCAGCCGCCTTCAAACAAAGTTTGGGGTTGCAGCTGCAGGTGCCCCAAAAGCCTCTTGAAACAGTATCCTTAAGCTGCAGCACAGCCGCAGCAGGTCCACGACCTCGCGCTCGATGGTCTCGTGCTCTCTCGGCCTCAACCACCCGAAACATTCGGGGAAACTTCCGGTCCAAACTCCAAAGGTTTGGGGTAGAGGGCCTTCGGGTTTGAGATATGTCAAGTAAGTACAGGCGGAGCTCAGTCAAGGTTCACAAAAGAGATCAAGATCATCAAGCTCAACCCATCAACTCCAAACTCCTTCGATGATGCCAAGCACTCAGTGGCGGCTCCCGAAAGTTTATGAGGCATCTGTTTGGGCTACAGGCTTCTGGTTTCAGCCACCTAAGACTCCAATGAGCCGGATTGACGCTTAGACAGGCCAGGAGGCAAGCTTGCAATCTTCTGGAGGGCGAGGCTGACGTGCCCGCCGTCGAGGAGGCGGAAGTGCTTGTCTTGGCGCAGGACAGGGACCGCAAATCCCAGTACCTCACCCAGCCTCAAGCACCATTCCCATAACGTCCATAACCCAAAACCCTAAAGACCTGAATCTGAAGTCAAGCCTGTACATCCGGCACAAGTGCGCTGCTCAGCCACCCACTGCATCTAACACCATCTTGACGCTGCTCGCTCGCTGCAGCTCCTGAAAGGCACTGCAGGGCGACTCGGGATTGTAGGGGTTCAGGGGGTCTCGGCTCTACTGTAGGGAGTCTAGGCGTTTTGGATTCGGGGACTTTCGGGGCATACGGTTTATGGTACATAGGGGATGAGGTTTAAAGGCTTCGTTGATTATGGTACATAGGAGATGAGGTTTCAAGGCTTCGTTGATCCTCACGAGATAGACCCAGAAGCTTTGATCCAAGGTGACCAACAAGAAGAGCCCGACGGCAGATGCTCGTCGGAAAAACACTCACAGAAAACGCCCAGAGCTTTGGGCTTTCCCCCGACGTAGGGGACTCCAGCCCCAAGAATTTCATCCGCCTCAAGGTCTTTCTCTCTTACGCCACATTGGGTCCACGCAGGACCAAATCCTTAGATGCCCCGGGCAGCAAACCCAAAACCCCAAACAAAAAAACCCTAAACTTCCTAAACCCCCACCGACCCCGGGTCCCGCTGAACAAGCGGCGCCGAAGCGCGGGCGGATCGCCCCAAACTGCGCATCCTGCGCGTGTGTCGGCGGGCATCTCGGGCGCTTGGGGTTTGAGTCTTGAGGGCTTCTGGTGTGGGTCGAGAGTGGCCTTTGGTGGGCTCTCGCCTTTGCTCAGGGACTTGAATTAGGTAACCATAATGTCTGCATATTGCATAATATGGTTTCCATTTTGTTTAACAGGGGTTCCCCGCAAATGCTGGGTTTGAATCTTCATGCTTATAGGCTTCAAGCCAAGCTCGACTTCAGATCCCGGTGTCCTGGCACGCAGGGGCCGAAGCTGGGCGACCGCAAGCTCGCGCCCATCGCGCGAGCTTTGGAAAGTCGCGTGGGCAGGGCGCAGGCCCAATGAAGAAGGTCTTGTTGCTGGGCGGAGATACACTAAACCCTCGAGTCGACAGCGGCTTATAAACCTTTGAGCCCTGTAAACCCTGAATCCTTAAACCCCAGACCCTAAACCCTGTAATCTTCAGGCCATCAACCCTTGAAAGTCTCCACACTTGAGAAGTTCAGGGCTGGAAGCCTTTTCAAAAAAAGACTCAAGCTTGAGAGCAAGCTGCCAGGCGCGGTTCAAAGGGCTACAAGGGGCCTCTGGGGCTCTACGGTTTGAGGGACCGGGGTTGTATGGGTTTAGGGCTTATGGGGTAAGAGCCTTTAGGGCTAGAGGTTTCAAGTAAGGATTTAGGCTTTGAGTTTGGGGGGTTGGGCTTAGATGCATTTCATAGGGCTTTGAGTCTAGGGACTGGGACTTGGGTTGAAGGTCTGTGGTTTATAGGGTGCAAGGTGCATTGGCCTCGCCAAGTTCAGGCGGAGCATCTTTCCCGGGGGGGTGACGAGTTGAAACCCAGTACCTTAACTCCTCATAGCCCCAAAAAACGGGGCCTCGAACCCCCCGCATCCCCATCTCCACGAGCCCTGAACCCTTTGCGGCGTGCCATTGGGAAGGGCTCCGCATCTTCGATGCAAAGCTTGGCGCCCGCTCCTGCGCCTGTGGGAAAGGACCACCGAGCAAGGTTCTGCACACGAAACAGGAAACCGTTACGTGAAGGCTCATGGGCACCTGCAAACCAACTATGACGGTAGCTGTAACCCAAGGAAAAAAGGCAAAATATTTGGCTGGCCAGTACAGATATGATTGGGTTCGAAGTGCCATGAACCTGGCCCAAACCCGCACACTGCCCCCAAACGGAGCATCAGCCCCGTGGGCGGGCTTCGGGCTTAGGCGTGCCTATCCCCATTTCCTATTTTGGCTTCACTTTTCTTTTTGCTGTGGCCCCAGCTCCACCACCTGAAAAGAAACGCGAACCGACGAGCTCTTGACCGTGAAACCGTGATCACTGCCCTGAACACAAGCAACCACTACCCGTGGAGACACAAGCACCCGGGCAACGGGGGCGGAAGGGTTCCAAGAACACGGGGAGTTGCGCAGCAAAACGCATCGATCAAAGGAGTGGAGACAGACCCTAGGTAGGAACTGATGCACAATGCCGCCCGCGACAACAAGCAAACCCAGCTACTGGTAGCGCATGCACGGCATAGCCGTCCTGGGGGTTTTTCAAGATTGCATGTCCATCCCCGACCATTCCCACATGCTGGCCCCTCCTTTCAGGACATCCGCCAGGATTTGGCGCAAGGAGATCTTGCTCGGGCCCAGGTACTCCTGGCTATGGGTTCTCAGAGACCCGGGATGTTAGGGCGTCTGGGTGCAGAGGGATTCCTGCTTTGCTTAAACTATTTGAGCAACGCAGGAATCCCAACGCGCCGCGACCTTCGGGCAACAGGTGGTATGTGAGATACATATGAACAAACTCTGGCGGGTCGGCTAAGGCACAGCAATGGTGCTACATGAGCCAACGCTGATGAAAGCTTCCCTGTGGCCGTTTCGGCGAGCCCCAGCAAGAAACAACCGAGAACCTCGGCTCAGAAGACAAAAGCTCCGACACCCAGGTCTCCTTCTTGTCCAGGAGAGCGCGGCCGTACTCAAGCACCTGGCAAAGGGCGATATGCAGCCCAAGGCTCAGCTACCAATCACCAGCAGCTTCCTGGGCCAACTCCCTGGCGCCTGGGGATCCAGGGCGATCATGGCCAGAGGCACCCTGCCTCCCATGTGCTCCGAGAGCGACGTCGCCTTGGCACTTGGCCAGTTTCGAGAAGGGCCATGCCTCTTATGGGCTACATAAATACAAGCAACCCATGTCTGGCGTACCTCAAAAGAGACTATGACGATAGTTCAGGGAACCTGCCACTTTTTTACCGAAGTCATGGCAGGCTGCGCCTCTACGAGGCTGTGGCACTTCGTCTCTAGATGTGGGATTCTCGCAACGTCGCAGAGCTCTTGAAGCGCAATTCAACCTTGGGCCCCCAGCCACCTCCAGCACGGTGCTGGGCCCCGGGGCGTCCACTGCAACTGAGAAGCGAGAGGTGATGACTTGCTTGGAGGCCGATGGAAATCTCTTGACTTTCAGCAGCTGGAACTTGAAAGACTCCACACAAACTCAAGTTGAGAAACGGATATCATCTTCATCTTGCATCGAGGCCCCGGCTCTCGCCATCCATGGAAAGGAGATGCTGCGCGGTTCCAGAGAAAATGTGTCCCAAGGTGCAAGGGTGTGGGATGGTGTTCGGATGGTGTTCGGATGGTGTAGGATGGTGTAGGATGGTGTAGGGGTGGGGGGGGGTTCAGAAAAAAGGAAACGAAAGCTTGGGCTTCTTGTCTTGCTAGGGGGGCGCCTTCCTGCGATGTCATAACGGGTTACAGGGTCGCCGGGTTCTAGCGGATTCTCAGAGCTCTTGTCAAGCTCAAACTGTAGCTCGAGCCGACTGTCACAGGAAGCCCCGGTCCCCGTTCTGAGCTTGAGCTCAATCGCGGAAGACTGGAATGACCAAGGTTTTGGGGGCTATTAAGTGTGTCAGACCCTCAGAGCTCTTTCAAAGCGTCAAGATGTCTCCGGTCGGAGCGGTCTCAAAGCAAGCAGCGAACCCCGATGCTCCACAGCGCGTCACGGGTTGAGGCCCGGCCATGTGGAGCCAGGGTGAAGGAGCGGCATAGGGCTTAGCTGGCTTTTTTGTTCAGGGCTTCTTTGGCGTGCCGCCCCTTGATTACAAATGTCTACAAGGGCAGGGAGAGCAACTTGTTTGGCTCGCCGAGAACCCTCGGGCACTTTCCCGTTTCGGTGTTGTGCCTATTGCGGGTGTCCGGGTCCCGAGGCCCCTTCCCAAAGAAAGCTGGCGCCATGTCGACTTAGAGACTTCTGGTACAGCACCACAGCACGCAGTACGCTGGCACACCCAACATACAACTGAAGATGCACAGAAAAATGAAGGAAACGCAACCCCGACACCAAACCCACGCCATCTTGCAGGGTTTCAGCAGCAGACCCCACAAGCTGTGGGCCAAAAAGCATCCAGGGATCGCCCGCAAAGCCGACGGAGCAAAAGAAACTTCTGGGCAGCGTCGAGGAAGCTTTGGAGGCTTTTGGCCTTTAAGGAAGAACGCTGCAGTCCGTCGGCCTTCAGGCCCCGGAACAGGAGATGGAGGTTGAAAGCTCGCACTTTCAAAAACCACTCCCCTGAGAATCGACATCCAACCATCCCCACATCACATGACCAAAATTAAATGTCAACCTCCCTGTGCACTTTAAAGGGCACGAAGCTAGCAGTCTCTTTTGAAACGATGCCATGGGATTGCAGCAACGACGGCATAGCATTGTGGAGATCATGGAAGTTGGGGTAATGGTAGAATATGGTCCCAGTGGGCTGCAACCCCAACCTCAATGAAGAGAATTGTTACAATGGCTCTGTGACTTCCCAAGCACGCTGAGGTTAATTTGCTGGATCCTCTCATGCAAGACTCGGAATCATCACGGCCGGCATCTTTGGCGAAGTCGGCTGAGTCGATCATGGAGCTAGGCAGCAAGCTTGGCCGCGGGCAGGCACCCTGTCCATCGACCATGCCACTTGGAGTAGAGTGCGGGGGCCGACGAAAAACTGACTCCCGCCAACGCTTTGAGGGCGACGGGTGCGACCTCCTGCTGCGCCTCAACCACCTTCACCTTGGCGGGCTCGGCAGCTTCGGCAAGCTGTGCCTTGGGCGTGCGACTCTGACGACTCTCACCCTCAAGCAGCGCCTTTGGCGGTGCCTTCTTCACGAGCAATGTAGGGACCTCTGCAAGCTGCATCTTCAGCACGGCGCCACACCACTTGCGATGCAGTGGGGACCACAGCGCTGGAGGCGAGCTGCAAAGGCGCAACACGGCTGTAGCCGGAGGAAATGCGAGCTCCGACTTCGCAACAGTGGTCTCTGCCACCCCTGACGAAGTTGGATTCGGGGCTGCCACGAGAGCTGCCATGGGAGCTGCAACGAGAGCTGCCGCGGGAGCTGCCGCGGGAGCTACCGCGGGAGCTTGGGGTGCCTGCGCACGCGGGCAGGTCCAATGGCGGTGCACCGGAGACCAGACGGCTGGCGAGAGGCTCGGGGCCGTCGCAGCGGGCTTCGGGCTTGCCACGGTCTTTGGCCTCGGCTCGGACGCAAAAGCTTCGTGGAGCTTGGCCATGGCTGTCAGGGGGACGGTGCGGAAGTCGCCGGCCATGTTGGGCTTGGTACTCGATACCTGGGACAGGGCTGCGATGGGGTTGCGGATGGTTTTCAAAACCGAAGCCCGATCGCCATAAGCTGCAGCTTTCAACCTTCATCACAATGAAAAAAACATCCCTTTTTTGAACACCCCAAAGAAGCCCTCGATTCCTCCAATGCCGCGGCTGCTTCCCGGCCTTGTCCTTCGGGGGCAGCGGCGACTTCGCGGAGCCCTTGCCGAACCTCCGCCATGTCGCTTGGATTTGGGGAGGGCAGAACCGGGGAATGCGCTGTGTTTAAGGTGTAGCAAATTGCCTTCGCTAAAACTATACACCTTAAACCCCAATGAACGCCGTTGGACCATTAAGTTGTCGAAGGCGACACTGCGACACTGCGGCATCACTCGCCCAAGTACACGCCGCCCGCAGAAGGGCGGCATGCACATGATGAGTACGTTCGACGTGCCATTCTGCAATGAACGCCAGTACAAAGCGTGTGCTACAAACCAATGAGACTCACGGAAACATCTTTGCTAAACCTGAACTACAAAACAGTAAAACCAGCCAGCTCACGGAAACATCGATTCCAGTACTAAACTTGTACTGCACATTAATGAAAATCCAGCTGGCTCATGGAAACTCACGGAAACGTAGATTCCAGTACTTTGCTTGTACTACAAAGCAACATGTCAGATACAGCGAACCCCGAGTCTTCATGTAAACGCCAAAACAGATGCCTTCATCAAAAGCTTCCCCCCAGTGTACGGCTGCTTCATGCCAGAAAGGGACGCCTTTCCTGCTTGAGTGTCGGGCACCCAAGAAGTGGGTGGCCATGTCTTAGAAAAAACCCCCAACCCGGCACAGAGCAGTCCCAGCGGCGGCAGCACGCTGGAAGATGCGACGGAGGACATCGAGACATCCGATTTGGGCTTCGCCTACAGCTGCATTGGGCCGAGGAGGTGGGTTTCACGAAGATTAGACCTTGCTTTTGGCTTTAGCGATACTCTCCGAATGGTCTTGGGAAAATTGTCGGGTCACCCAACTCCCACAGAACGAACTGTCAATTGCCGTGCAACTGATTGCAAATGGCTCCCCAGCCTTGGCGCTGATTGGAAGGCTCTTGGCTGCAGCCTGCGCTTGAGGCCACAGGCTGTCAGGTCGAACGAGAAAGGGATCACCGGGCCCTGAAGAAATGAGACCCAGACCAATGCCACCCGTACTCCCCAAACCCTTGACCCGCCCCCCTCTTCTAAGAGTCTAGGGTACCCCAGAAAGGAGCTGAGCATGATTTGGAGAACTGCGTTGAACTGCGCACAGAATCCTGCAGAGAACAAGACTCCCAGATGAGAACCTGTTCCCAAAGCGCAGGGGGGGAGGGGTCGGCGATTGGTGGCGCAGCGCGGTAAGCCCTCAGCCCTACCCTGCGCGCGCCTTGGGTTGCAGGGCCTTTGCGGCCTTTTTCAGCTCGGCGGCCGTCTGGGCCTGGGAGGGTTCTGGGAGCTAGATTGCAAAAAGGGTTCAGGGGTGAAGGGGTGTAGGGTTTAGGGTTCTTATAAGGTTTTGGGTTGATTGGGGCTTGGGGTGTCGGTTTAGGGTGTGGGGTTCGGGGGTTTTGGACTGAAGCGGTCTTCAGGGTTTGAAAGCAAGGCCCTTGGGTTCACGGGACGCATTAAACCTAAACCCCTGAACCCTAAACCCCTCAAAGCCCCAAACTGCTCAAACCGAACTATTCAACAGCAGAGCCGCAGACCCAATACCCAAAGCATCCCCGGCACGACGACCGCAATTGTACCTTGGGGTGAAATCCTAAACCCTGAGCCCCAAATCCTGAAAACTCCAAACCCCAAACCCATTAGTGCAGCTGTCAAGTCACCCTAAACTCTCAACCCTCAACCCTAAACCCTATGTGCTGCTCTGGCGCCCTGAGACTTGGCGGGTCCTTCGATGCCCTGGTCCTGGCACGCGACACAGGGCTTGGGGATGTTTAGTGCTTCGTTTCTAGGGTTTATGTTGCTAAGCCCTGGGAATGCTTAAGACACAAGCTTAACTCGGGAATTTTCGGTTTGCGTGTTCTGATTTTTTTGGGGGCTTGGGCGCGAACATGAAATGCGCAGTTTGCGGTTGCCAGTCACCTCCAGCTGACTCACGACATGGTTTTTCTTGCTTTCATCCGTCATCATCATCGCTCTCAGCTGGTGGGGGGGTGTGCAGGGTTGGTGGAAAAGATGGGCCTGGTTTGGGAAGCGTATAGGAGTAAATCTATTGATGACCATGACCCTTCACAAGAATGATCGGATGATGTTACTATGTTCTCCAAATCCCCACCGAACCTAAACTCGGCAATGGCTAGAGCTTTAAGGAACCTTTCAAAGGCCCGAGGCTTAATATGTGCAACTCTGACATGAACCCTTCCCGACCCTGAAGCCCTTGGAATGCTTAACATATAAGATGCCTTACGAAAATCGTAAGCAGGCCCATTGCAGTATGTATCTTCTCGGTTTTATGGCCCTATGCCTCAGGCTTATGTTAAGCATTCCCAGGGCTGGGCAAGGTTTATGGTTCAGGGTTTAGGGTTTAGAGTGTAGGGTGTAGGGTGTAGGGTGTAGGGCTTGACTGAAAGAGGGGAGCTCTTGTGACTTCAGCTCACTTACACCTTGCTCTCACATTTGCGAGGACCGGCTCTGGAACTTCAAGCTAAAGCAGATATCTTTTTGTTGGGAAGCTTGTTTACCGGCTTGGGAGGGCTTCTGGCCTCTTCGGATCCCGACCCTGCATCCCACCAGCGACCTCTCCGGTGTGGGCTCGCGAGGTTGCCAGTCCTTCTTAAAGGACCTGAGAGGCATAGCAGTCACGCCCGACGCTCCGCAGACTCTCCAGACTTGTCCATAGACTCTCATGCATAACCACGGCCACAAGATCCACACGAGACTTTGTCCGCGATTCCTCTCTGGGGGGCTGGCCTCTCCTCCAGGAACTTCAACTCCTTCGTGAAGCTCACCATGGTTCACACTCCATTGGGTTGAGGGTGTAAGAGGTTAAGGTGTTAGGGGACTCGGGTGTTAGGGCTTAGGGCAGTTTAGGGCTTAAAGGTTGCAGGCCCCGAGCTGCCGCCCCCCCCCCCCTCCTGCAAAGAGGTGACCCCACCCATCATGTTGGCGTTCGTCGGGCCGATGACGTTCGTGTCGAAGTTCATCCTCGGCTCCTCCTGCTCTTCTGAGGTCCCCCCCGGGTCTTCTGGGAACCCAAAACTTGCCTCTTTGGCAGGCTTACGACAACAAAAGCCCATTTGGAAGTTCTTGGAAACTACAAAAGAAGCTAGGCGCTGGGGTTCTTAAGGTTCTTGGTTCCTAAGGTAGGGTGGATAGTATAGATGGTCGAAGGGTTGCAGAGGTTCACGGTCGCCCGACTAATGCACCTGGCACGTCGCGCACCACAACACGAAAGGCAGGTACCACAGCACCTGACTCTCGAGTTGAAAAAACCTGGCCTCCCCCGATCCTGAATATTCAGATAGTCAGGCTGTTCTCTCAGTTACGGTGCCTTCTGAGTCGGGCTCCGGTTATAGTTAAGAAGGGGCCTTACATCTTGCCTGTCTTGTCTGCACCTAACCGTAGCTTGAGAGGCAGGGACCATACCATGTGAGAGTCCCTGAAGAACACTAAAGCCTGAAACTCACACAAACGTTGGCCCGAAAAAGGAAGGACTCCAAACTTTGGCTGGCCAGAAGCTGATGGAAGCGTTGATCCCAAAGCAGTCCCAGGCCAAAGTCCTGAGAGCCCTGAACCCCTAAAAGCTCAACTTCCCCTCCCCCCGTTCAGATCCTCGGTGCCTTTGGCTTTGCGAGCCCGGCCCTGTCGAATCATTGCCATGCGTGCGGGAAAGGTTTACGAGTTTTGGGCCGAGTCTGGTTGTTCAGAGCAGGGCAAAGTGGCATCTTAACGCCATTCGGGCCACGACACCCACCCAACCCGAATCTTGGCACGACACACCTTCCGTCTCCAAAAGCACTGCCGCAAGCACCTCCACCGACAGCTCAGCGTCATCTTCCGCCGTCCACCGGCAGCAGTGCGTGAGGTGCGTGCTGGGGTTGTGGCCTTGGGTTCTCACAAGGAAAGGAGAGTACCAAGGAAAGTGCCCCCTAAGCCTCAGGCCCCAAGCATTGCGCTACGAATCCGTCTGCAGCTTGGGACCCCGGCAGCTGCTGGAGATGTTGCCCATGATTCGCTCAAGAAATGTGCGGCCCAGCGCTTGGAACTAGGAGCAAACTGAAGTGAAGCAACCTGCGCTTTCGGGCAATGCTTTCACCGGTGAGGTGTTGATCCAGGTCTGTGGGGATGCAAGGGCATCTGTGCCGCACCTATCATGAAACTCGTGTACTTCGGAACATGTTGATCCAAGATGGGCGGCGGCCACATGACCGATAACACGCAATGAGCGGGGCCCCATGCGCCACAAAGTCGGTTGAGGGCCGGGGGGGCCGGGTTTGGTTGCAAGTAAGGCTTGTCTGGCAACTTTTTAAGTCCCTCGCGACTGGCGACTGCAGGCCCGTCAAGTCTTTGGGGCCGTGCTTGAGGCCCCTGCGTCGCCCTGCCCTCGTTGTTCTCCTGCCTTGTAAGTCGGTCCCCCCCCCCTGAAGGCTCAGCAGCCTCACCCGATGTCGCATGGTGGCCGAATGTGGCTACTATCCGCTGGCCAGCTGCAGACAGACCCGCAAACTTGGCTGGCGATGTAGAGGCCGTTTGCACTTCCTGTGCAGAAGTATGCATGATCCATGCAGAAGCCGCCAGAGGCTGAGGCGTCCTTGTGCGATGCCTATGTAGTCGATCGCCCGATTCGGCCACCTACACACCCACTCCGTCAGGGTCACCTTGCTGGCGGGCTGCATGTTGCGCATCCTCCAGAATCTCCAGCTTCCTGGCTCCAAAGGAAAGGGCTCCAGAAGATGGTTGTGGGATTGAGGGCTTGGGGTATAACACCACAACAAACAAACCAACCAACAAACGACAACGACAACGACAACGCCAGCAACAGCAACAGCGACAGCGACGTCGACATCGACATCATCATCATCATCATCATCATCATCATCATCATCATCATGACCATGATCATCATCATCATCAGCATCATCATCATCATCATCATCATCAGCATCATCATCATCATCATCTCAGTTTGGAGGCCCGAACATGACTCTTGATCTTTGCAACGCGGTCGAGGGTCTCTTCCACAGATAAGCTATCGCTTACCATCAGGCGCGGATCCAACTCCAAGCCATGGTAGTTGTCGGCATGAAAAACCTCCCGATAGGACACCTTGCGCATGCAGTGAAAATCCGGCAGTCATTCGAACGAACACTTTGTCTTCGAGGCATCCCATTTAATGGTGTTTGGCGAAAGCAACACAGCGTTCTTCTACCAATCTTCCCACGGCGAGGGCCGAGGTGCGAGTGCTCGTACAAGTGCGGGTACCAAGTACTAGAGCGGGACGCTGAGAGCATGAGCTCAACATGGGAAGGGTGATTACGAAATCCCTCAACCGCTAAAGAGGGTCAGCAGGGCTTTGGAATCCCAAACACATGCATCTGCGTTGGGGGCTTAGGATGGCTTAGGTTTTCAGTTCATGGCATGTTGCAGTTGGCAGGACCGGTTTCGAATTCCCAAGACAAGGCATCCCGTCTCACTATGTCCTTTTGGCACACCAAGTGGCAACCCTTCGCCAAAATGCCGGGATCTCTTCCGTAGGCACCACTTCAATGCGCTGCTCTTGGGACCAGGACGTCAGTATAAACTCCACATTGATGGCCTTGAAATGGCTCCAAGAAAGGAGAGAGTATTGGCTCCTGCCAAAGGCAACCACGTGCATGCTTTGTCTTGGCAGAACTTGCCTAGGGAAGCGTGCTTCATGACAAGGGAACTACACAACTCTGAAGTAACATGACAGGTCGATGCATGCACCTGTTGTCCGAGTTAGGGTGCAAGTCTGCAGAGCGCATGGCTGACATGAGCTGGGTGCCGACTTGATTTGTTGCATGTCATGAAAGTCCACTGCAGCAAGCCTGCCTTCCTGACACGCATGTACTGCATTAGAGACGCAAATACGGCCCACCTACCAGCAGAAGCAATTACAACTACGATGCATATGCGCGGCAGCTCGAAACAGCTTTTGTTTGTAGGCCCACCACCCCAAGCCACCCCATGCCACCACCCCAAACCACCCCAAACCGCCCCCAAACCACCCCAAACCACCCCAAACCAGCCCGAACCTCCCCAAACAACCGCAAGCAACGCCGAAAAACCTCAAACAACCCCAATTGGAGATTCCAAGTGGTGTGAATACCCTCTTGCGTCCTGAGAATCTCCAGCATGGCACCCAGTGAGCACCCGACCAACATCATGTCCTCTGCATAACCTGCGCTCCACGAGACAACCGCGCAGCTCGAAAGTCAAGCTAATCAAGAAGTCCACCGCAAGCCTGCACGGCTACATGTTGACTGCTGTCCGACTTCAGAAGAGGTGCTGTACTGCTGGCTGATATTTCCGTTCGATTTAGCTGGGTCGAATGGAATGGACAGCGCGATTTCTGGCGGCAGGTAGGAATGCACGACCTCCATATTGATGACCAGTGGCAAGTACCTCGCAGCACGCCAAGCACAGCTAATTCCTGATTTGCAAGCGAGCAAATGGCTCGGAGTGCGCTGGATTTTGAGGTGTCTAGGCCTGCTCAGCCCGGCACCCTGCTTTGAGCCACACCGCTAGGTAGTCACAGTCGCCGTTGTCCTGTGAGGCACGTGGAGACCATATCTAAACTTGCCTATACCGTGCCATGATTGCGTCTCACCCCCCCGGGCTCCACGTCAATCTTCAGAAGGGCAGGAAAGCGCTGTGATGGTGGGTCCGGCACAAATTGAAGCCTTAGGACACCATGTCTCATATGCATAAATCCACACACCCCAGCGCCCGGCATGTCCCGCAAATGTACATCGTAAACGGCTGAATTGGTAATAATCATGACCCCCATGCTAACATGCGTAATGATGTCAGCAGCACTTGCAAGTACAAGTACAATGCTAGCAAGGAGAAGAACAATGAGAACGATACATAGCAAGAACAAGACAGGGAGTTCTTAAGCCAGGTGGCAGCACTTCGGCAAAGCTAGCCGGATCCACAAGCTCCGTGAACAACGTCACCTGTTTCCGCGCACACTTCCCGCAACGGCAGGATCAGGACAAAAGAGCTTAGTAGGGTTTACAGGGTTCAAGAGTGTAGGGTTTCGGGTTCAGGGTTTACGGTTCAGGCGGTGCACCACCATGGAGATCTTGAACTTGGAGGGACATCCGACAGGGCAAGCACTCCCACAACATCCTTCAGCCCTTCGGGCTTCGCTTCGCACCAGCCTCGATCGTAATGCCACGATAACCATCATAATCATAATCATACCACATGATACCAAGAGTGAGAGCAATCGCCAAAACTAGGAACTAGATGAAACCATGCTATTGAAAGACGTTCGCGAGCCTCCGGTCGGCGACCAAAACGACGCCGGAGCTCCTCCACCCTCTCGGGGTTGATCTGCCCAGGAGCAGAAAAACACCCCCAGAAGCCCAGAAACATTAAAATCAGAAGGTTCCCGGTAGCTGCGAATTGGGGTGACCGTGTAAAGCCTCGCTACAGGCACCCACTGAAGCGAGCAGCCTGCCTCGAAGAGGATGGCTCGGAAGTCACCTCTTCGTGAGCACACATATGTTCCGCGACTCTGAAGCTGCAGTCTGCTGCAGAAAGCAAATGAGACACCCTGAGACACCTCAACAGCAGGGAGATTCGGAAACATGCGACGCGCCCGCCTGAGAACTCGAGGAGGCAGTTCGCCGGATCGTGGCTGCCAGCTCCCAAGTTTACAACCATGGGTGCGCGGCCGAAGTCCCGGCCAGGAGAATTGAAGACCTGCAGATGTGCGCAAGAATGCGCACAGAAAGTCACTCAGAGCAGAGCCGGCGGTCACAGACCATCACAAAATCGGCCACACTGTTGCGCCTCCAAAACCCGTGAAGTTGAGAGGAAGATTGCCTTGAGAAAAGGTATAAAAGAACAGGATAATGCTCGCAAAGATCCTCCTCTCCCATCACATGCACGGTCCCGACACAAAAGCCCGGCAACACCGGGCCAACATATTGCCGAGAAACATGGCTGGATGAGTGGTCTGCAATTTCACCATTCAGCAGATGCACGCGACGGGGACGTAATCCTGGACCGCAAGGATCAAAGTCGGTCCTGAACGTGCCCGTAGAATGGAGGAGAAGCAGCTAAAGCACAGACGCTACGAGGCTCCACCTCTATGTATATGTACAAAGTGCAGACAAAGAGCACAGATCCAGCCCCCAAGGTCCATGTCGAGGCATGGTACAGCACCGTGGCCAAACTCGGAGGCAGCACGGGGCTTCACAGGCTGAAGCACTGCCAGAAACAAGTTTTCAAGTGGACGGCTCTCCCAGAAGTTGCATGGGAACTCAGGAACTACACTTAAAAAGCAGCCCGAAACACCAAAGACTCCCCAACCTTCACAGAGTCAGAACTCTTAATATCTTCCCATGGCACGAGGGCGCCGTGGCCCTGCGCTGGTTCTTCCACAGGAGCTTCGCAGCGGTTGCCGCCATCCTGCCGTGTTCTTGGGGCATTTAAGGGTTCCATGGGGGGGTGGGGAGGGGGGGTTTAGGGTTTCTTGGGCGTCAAGTTTGGGAGTTTAGGGGCTGAGGATGGGCTGAGGGTACTGGTTTCCGGCTTGGCATACGTAAGGCCGAGCTTCCGAGTACAGGAATGGCACGTGCACCTCAATATGGATTAAATGTTCCGAGCTAGGTTCCCGATCTCATGTTTCGGGTGCCTACTCAATACGAGGGCCGACATTCTACCTATGTGCCATCTGAACCGCACCGAGGCTAGCATATGGGTGGCTGTCAAAATTATGATCCCTCTTGGGGTAGCCTAAATATTAGGTGCCGTACTATAATAGGGATCCAAAAGGATGACAACCACCCATGTGGACCCTCTATATCTATTGATGCGCCGATGCTGGCCTAAGGGGCATCATGAAGTATGCAGGTCGGACGTCTTGTCAACTTGTATGAGCTTCCACTACCCTCAACCTGCGCCACTCAAAGCCTCCATCTTCCTACCCGGAACCTTAAACGTTAAACCTTCAACCCGAAACCCCAAACCCTAAACCTTACAGCCTCCCATGTTCAGCTGGGGTCCTTAGCCTATGCTTCCCTTGGGGCCCTCGCGGTGCTGGAGCGCGCCTGTCCAAGGCCTCTCCGAAGAGCCTGCCCTGCCCGAAAGCCATGTCCTCGTGGAAGTGGCCCTCCTTTAAGACATCCTGCCAAAGGTTTTAAGTTTAGGGTTTTAGGGCTTCGGGTTAAGGATCTGGCAGGACGGAGTGCGTTTTAGGATAAGGTGCAGGGCTCATAGGGCCTAGGATTGGAGATGCCAAAAACCCACACGGCAGGCATTATGGCGGCTGTCCTGGCAGAACTCCATTTGCAGGCACTGCACCTCCTCCGCTGTCATGGCAGCCGGTGACTTCATGTGCTACGATTACCCCTCAACCCGAAAGCCTGAACCCTAAAACCTGAATGCAGACAGCTGAGTCCAGCTCAACTATGAGGTATCTCAACAGATCGAGATGCTCCGGAGTGCTCCCGTACTGACAGTCCATGTGCCTCGCGCGTCAAGGAAAGAGAACTGAAACAGCGCCTAACTTCGAGACATCGTACAGGAGGAAGATTTCACTTTGCCAGGCCTGGTGTAACAGAGCAGGTCCCCCATGTCCGTCAAGAAGTTGAGTATGGGGAGCAACTCTTTGGGTTCTTCTTCAGCCGTTTCATAGCAGTTCGCGGTCAAGAAATACACGGAGCTTGCTTGGTAGAAGAGCGCGTTGATCGCGTCCAGGTGAGCTTTACTCTCCGGTTGGCAGGTCTTTGGACGGTCTGCAATGCTGGGTGGGCACGGCTTCCGCGCGCAGCAGTCCTGCGCGGGGGGTGCGGCACCATCTACTTCATTGAAAATATTTGAATATAGATCCAGCCGGCAACTGCATCTTGCTGACACTGCCCCGACTTGATATTTCCACCTGGCCCAGCCTCGAGCGCCAAGAGCACCACCCATGCCACACACCAGCGCCACTGCATGCCAGCGATGCCGGAGCCGGCACGTGGCGCGCGAGGCCAACCGCAACTTCTGCATCGGGTCGCGCCATGGAACTGCTGTCGTCGCGGCCCCCAGACCCTAAACCACAAACCCCAAACCTCAAAACCCTCATCCCAACAGACCAGGAGCCGATGAGCATCCTTTCCTTGCTTGGCCTTTTGCACTGCTTCCATCCCATTTCAACATGTCAATGTTAGCCACCCCAAATTGAACAGTTTAAACCTTACTAGTAGCAATAGCAATAGTGATAACAATAACCGAAAGGATATGGATGGTTTTCGATTATGGACGGCAGGACGGAGAAGGTTTTGCGCACATGGAGCATACGAGCAAGACTTGAATTCTTGTCCAATCGTGTAGGGTTCGTTATCTCAAAGCCGAGAGCACCGGGTAATGAAGCTCGGCTGTTGGCACTGCCGATAAGCCAACATTGGATTAGTCTATATGATCTATTAACGCAATATTAGGGGAACATGCTGATGGTGTTTTACTGTGGGCTTCTCCGGGCCAATTGTGCTTCTTCTGGGCAAATCGCGCGCGCTATACGAAATTACGAAAAGAAGCTATACCCTGAACAAGAACTGAACAGCTCAATACTAACTGCATGAGTACCACTTAGCAGCCGACATGCGCGAAAACTGCAAAAGGCACTGAATACTAATTGAAGGACTGGCAGCCTTCATTACACATCGGTATTCCAGTGTCGCCTCGGCCGCTCGCATCGCTTTACATCGTGAGAAATAATAGGCCTGGACAGACTTCCTTGCCGCATCCGATTCGTCCGATTCGCATCCATTCTGAGGGCATGTGCGCTCCCGCCTGATTACCGCAGGTTGCTGTGGTGTTGCTGTAGTTCAACTACTCCCCCCTCGAAGGCTCTGACCGGAAACCAGTGTGTGGTGTGCTACTTCCGTTGGCTGAAGAGAACTCTGCTAATCAACTAGAAGCGTAGAAACCCGTCCATTCGGTACTATAGTCCATTCCTTATTTCTTGTCTGTCCCTTCTACCGATTCACATAGTCGTAAGTCATATACTGGTAACAAAAAAACTGTTTTTCTCACTCAGCGATTTCAAGCTTTCCTCTATCTTCTCACTGCTTGGATGGGGAAAAAGCCTACTCGAATAGAAATGCCTATGTTTTTGCCCTAACCCTAAGCCTTAAAAGCCGCGTGCATTTCTGAGGGCGGCGCATGTACTTCTAATAGTACATGACATCCCCGTCCTATCACTTATCAAACAGCGAAGTGAGAGCCAAGGCCTGCGTCTCGACATAGCCCCTAAACACCAACATAATGGTAGGGTCTGTAAACTACAACAGCACCGTCTTTAAATAATCCATCATGTCCTTCCTAGTTTTCCAGCTAGAACACCAAGATCAGAAACCCACAACCCGTTCTTCTCTTTCGCGACAATCCAAGAACCCAAGCTAGCACTCCAAGACCTCTCAGACCATGCATGCATGGCATGTGTCGCGTGTATTGCGAAGCAGACAGGCTTATTGTCATTATGAAGCAGACGGCGTTGTTCTGTTGCAGACGGTCAGGCTGCTCGAAAGCTCCAGGCTGGAGGAAACCAGCTCAGAGCAACACCGCGTCCGTCTAGGCCTTTGGTATGAGGTTGATGACCTTGAGCGCGCGCTCCTCGCCGGAGCCATAGACTTTGACGACCTCAGCCACGGGTATGGACGTGTGGCATCTAGGGGTGAACAGACAGAAGCCACCGCTGCCCTTCAAGCAGGCCTTCATTGAAGTCCCCATGCCTGCTTCACACCAAAGTGCCAGGTCAAGGGCCCCCCATGCCCAAGATCCCTTCATGAAGATACCTCCCCCATACCCTTGAAGCTTTTTGATTTAAGGACTGTTTAAGCTGTATTTGGGGTCTTTTGGTGCCCACAAAAAAACCACACAACATCAACAGCCTGGGCAGCCTGCCAGCCGTTGCTTCTCCTCGTCAAAGGAGTGCACGAAACCCTCTTGTCCTAGGCGCCGGGCGTGTTCCAGGGTTGAGGATCTTGTGGGTTTAGAATTCAAAACGTTGATCCCACCAGGGATTTCAGAGCTTCATGGCGATTTCGATAGCCCGCCCCCCAGCAGACGCGAGAGTGACACCACACGGCGAGGGTCCATTCAAGGCCTTGCCCGCATCGCTTTGAAGGCCTCCTGCAGCAAGTTGACACGTCGAGCACTTGACCCCATATACATGGTCTGGGAGGCTATTCTGTGGGCCGCATGGGGCGCCTCTGCTTCTGAAGGCGTCTTAACTTGCATGTGTGACACTGGATGGAAGCGGAGCTCAGTGCTGCAGAATGCTTGCCAGGCCACTGATCCTCACCGCACTGCCCAAGAGGCGTTCAGTGGGGCACAAAGAGTGCAGCACAATGAGCTCCTCGAGGACAGGCAGAGAGCTTCGGGGTTAATTTCTCATGGCAACAGAACATGAGTCTTTGCATCACATCCTTCTCCGACAGCCGGATGCTCGCCCATCCGGTCTTCGGGCCGTCACCTGCCAGGCTTAGGGTTCAGCGGAGAGCCAACGCTTCATCTTGGGGCACGTGGACCCCTGAAGCCCCCCGAAACCCTGCCACACAAAAGACTCAACGGCATGGGGACCCCCGCGCACCTTCGAGCAGCCTCGGCTCCGGTCAAGACGACATCACATCGGGGGGTTTTAAGGAGATTTTCAAGGGGTTCTAACGGGGTTTTTCAAGGGGGTTTTTCAAGGGTGTCTTTCAAGGGGGTTTTAGGGGGTTTTAAGGAGATTTTCAAGGGGTTCTAAGGGGGTTTTTCAAGAGGGTTTTTCAAGGGAGTTTTTCAGGTTTTAGGGGGTTTTCGGGGGAGGGAGGGGGGGGGCGGGTGGGGTTGGGGGCGGGGTTTCAAGGGGGCTTGGGGGGCTTTTGGAGCTGAGGGGTTTAGGGATTCCTGCATGAAAGCAAAGGAGGCCTGATGGCAAGTCACCCCGCTGCGTCCGAGGGGCTTGTAGCAAAGTCCTTGCTTGGGCACTGCGTGACGAAAACACGACGAGAGCTGGGGCTCCCAAGACTCTAAGCCTTGCCCTACAGCCCTAAACGCTGACCACATGAGCCTCCTCTGTCCCTCCTGAACCCCAGAACCTAGCCGACCTAGCCCTTCAAACCCTGCACCCAAAAGCGGCACTCTCTCGTCGAGGCGCTCTCGCCTTTGAGCTGCACCTGCTCGAGGATGGAGCCTGTCTTCAGCCGCTCCTCGCAGGCTGGCGACGTCCTTGGGAAACCCTCGACCACAAACACTAAAGACGGCTTAGGATACCGAAATGGGGTGGAGATGGCTTGAAGGGTTAGGGTGATTTTCTTAAGTATCCGGTATACTGGGCTCGGAGGTGGAGGTGTGACTCAATAGGGCTCAAGGTTTAGGGTGAGCATCGGACATCGAGATATTCGGGGATCATCAGAGCTGGCTCATGAACTCCAGCAGCTCCCACTCACCGCCCCCGCCCACGGGTAGCTAGTCAGGAAGAGATCGATCCAAACATCCAAACATACCAAGGTGAGTAAAGGAACCTTCCCTATGAGTACTTCAACGGGTACTGGAGTTTCTGACCAGGCCCAGGATCAAGGCGGCGCCTTCTCTCACCAAGATGCCTGCCAAGGAAGGGCGTTCCGGGTCTTTTTGGTCGTATACCCTGAACAAAAAGGCCCTGACTGACGATGATTACAATACCAAAGCGGCAATACTTTAAAGAGAACTGACCATCGTGGAAACTGAGGCGACCGGCGCAGGTCATGCACTGTAGACCGGATCTGACATCAAAAACGAACAAAATCCGGACACTGGACACCCTTCTAAGGGCTCTGAGGTTTAGGTGGCACAGAGTTGCTGGCATCTGTGTGTCTCCTGAGACTATGCTGGAAGAGGCCTGGCTCTTCACCCGCTTCGCAGGGAGGCTGTACTACAATCCGCTGAGGCCTCGGGCCGAAGGTGTATAGGTTGTCAGAACAGGCACCCCCCTCCCAATCCTCCCCCCAAGCCAAAGCCACACATCGGCCCCCTTCTTTTGCCTGGAAAGGGTACCCCTGGCGAAAACAATGTGAAAGCGGACGGTTCGCCAGGACCAGGGGCAGTTGAAGCCCCGCCTAGCGCCCCACCGCCCCCAAACCCCAAACCGTGAACCTTGAGCCCTAAGCCCTCAAACCCTCAACCCATAAACCATAAACCCGGAACCCTAAACCCTAAACCCAACCCTTACCTGGGAAACCCAAACCCTACAGAATTTTAGTAGTTTCAACTAAAACTGGTTTTGCCCAGTGGATGGCGGAAACCCCACGAAATGGCGGAAACAGCTGCTTAAGGGTTTGGTGGGCAAGAATTGGGATTGAAGTTTTTTGACAAACGGTTCTTTGGAAGATGCCTTTTTTCAGTCCTGTGATTGCGTTTTTCATTTTCTGAGATCGCGTTTTTCGTGGGCGGTAGGTTGATGCTCCAGCGGCATCGCGCAGGGCATGTACTATGTCTCGATCAACGAAGATCGACCATAAACCTACAATACTTAAACCCTTATACTATGGACCCTAAACCCCTAACACCCTAAGCCCAACACTGCAGAACTGTGACTGTTGTGCAGAGCATGTACGATGCCTCGCAGGCACGCCAAATCCCTGTTCCGATGCTTTAACCCAAGCCCTAAACCCTGAAAAGAGAGCTCTTGCCATTGCTCCCTGACTGTGCTTCGAAGATTGGCACCTCTCCAGCCCAAACACCCTATAAAACATTCACAACCCTATGCCCATATCATGCAAGACCTTAAATTAAGCTTTAAACCAACACACTGAACTTTCGTGCGATGGCTCCACCGGAAGGGGGGGGGGAGGGGTAGTGGGTGGGGGGTGGGGGGGTGGAAGGGAACCGAGAGGGCGGAGGGCTAATCAGTTTTTTTTAGAACTCAAAGTAGCGTTTTTTGAAAATCAAAATAGCGTTTTTTGAAACACATTGGAAAAAAGAGATGGCGGAAATAGGCGGCGAGATGGCGGAAATCGGCGGTCAAATGGCGGAAAACGCCGGAATGCAATTTTTCGGGCCAGCCTGAAGTTTCAGTTTTTCCATTTCGAAGTGGCAGAAATACCGGGAGAGGCCGCAAATTTTCAGACATCAGCTGCGTGCTGTCTGCCAGCTCGCGCGCACGCCATGTGGTCTGGGATTCAGGGTGTTATGTGTGGGATTCGACACTCACCATAAATATATGAAGGTTTATATTTAACGTGTATTGGGTTTTGGTTTGCTGAGGCGTTGAACCGTGAGTCCAGGTTTGGTTTCGGCTCTGCCGCGCTTCTTGAAGCTTTTTGCCTGACAAACTCTGAGCGCGAAAGCCCGGTGTCTAGTACCTGCTGCTTGCAAGCCGTGCAGTGCTTGGACATCATGCCCCAAAGTGCAACTGCGGCCCTCAAAAACTGGGATGCTCCGAGGCTTCGATGGGGTCTCATGAATGAGGTTTCAGGTCAAGGTATTGCCAGAGTTCAGGCTTAGTTCTGGGCCTCATGGCGTAATATAGTTGTATCCAATTCCAGGATACAAGCCAACAGACCACAGAGCTGGGCCAAACCGACATGGCCAAATGCAAGTTCTGAAAATCTGAAATGCCGTTTTTTGCTTTTGACGTTCCGTTTTTTTGGCAAGACCCCACTGCTCAACATTTCAATTCTTGCCTGGCAACCCTGAAAACCAAAAACTTCAACATTCCAATTTTCCCAGGGGATGGCGGAAATATTGCACTTTCCTCCTCATAGCCTTTTTTTTGAAACCCAGGGTTTCCCAGGTATTGCTTGGGGTCCAGCGACTTGGGCGCTGCGGAATCGGGCCGAGGCGGGTCGCATAGCGTTAAAATTACAATGCACCACACCTTGGTCGCGGAGGGAGCGGCACCGCAAGAATGCGTCATTCGACGAATCATCGTCATCACCAATATCATCGTCATCCCTTCAGCGGCTGCAGTTTCAACACCCTGGCGGATCTCTAGATGGACTTGGCTGGGTCTGATCGGCACGCAGTCCGCTAACTTTCCGTCCGCGCTGAAGAAGAACACCCCGACTCGTGTGTGAGTCGATTCCCAGACACTCTCTAAAACTCTGCTGCAGGAAGCTCGGGGGGGTTGTATTGTATTCTGGGGCCCCCTGTCGAGGCCTCCCTTGTCGGCTCCGCCAATGACTTGCCACCTGTCGGGGCAGAGTTTGCAGAGACTCTGAGACAAAGCATGTGAAGCCGCTCGGTCGGAGAAGTTCTCTTCTGCGACCCTTAGAGGCTCACACTTGGGAGTCTTCCCCCCCCCCCCCCCGAAAAACATGAACATCCCTCGTCTTTCAAGGGGAATCAAAGCCCTACTTTGAGAAGGAAAGTGAAAGCCGATGCCTTTTTCTGTCTACCGGCTCCGAGTCTCTGGAGGGAGGTGCGCAAGGTCAAGGGCGAATCCCTGATACATCTGAAAGATTCAGTGAAGGCGGATTTTAAAACCCTGAACCCTGGGTTAGGTCCCACGGTGCATCCCGGACCTTGCCTCCTCTGCTCTGGTAGAGATTTTGGGACTCAAGAGGGTGACAAACCCCTCCCTCGGTGTGTCCCGAAGAACTGTACTGCTCCAGGGCGCCGCGCTTGGGCAAATCATGTACAAGGCACCACTGAAACCCAACATCGAACAGGCTCGCTTTACATGCCATGCATCGGATGGCAGGTCTTGTTCGATTGCTGTTGCAGCTTGTAGAGGCCTGGGTATTTGCAGCAGCCCAACTGCTTCAAAGCTCTCTCAAAGTCCTTCTGAAAGGGGCTAAAGTGGGGGATTGGGCCGATCAGCTCGGCGCGTGGATCTTGCAGCGTGCCCTGTGCACACCGAACCTCCAAACATTACGAACCCATGGCGTCACGAAATCAGATTCGGTGGCACAGGACCGTCGCCAAAAAAAGGGTCCACACAGATGTATGGTGTCCATGAATTTGAAACGCACATTTGACGCGCGCAACGGAAAGGGAATGTGGATGGTCACAAGTGGCCATGCCTTGAAGAATCAATTAAACTGCCCTGCACGGGTTGCCGGGCAGCCTGCAGCTGTCAGAGCAAGGTAAGGCTTTCTCTGAAGGGCCCTGAAGACTCTCAGATCCTCACACGCCAACATACACCAATCACTCACCCTGCAGAAGGCATCCCATAACGGCCGGGAACTTCTTGCGGGTGCCACTCACCAGGTTCTCGAAGGCGGGAAGGCACTTGACGCGGAGCCTCTCCAGCGCCAGCGCGGCGTGGGCCTGGCCCTGCGGGCAAAGTTCCTCCCAGCGTTCCGCAAGCTCTTGGAGAGTGGAGCTGAAGAGCCAGGTCTGGGAGAAGCTTTGATCCCAAGGGATTGCACTGACGGACATGAGGGCAGAGGAAAGGACTTGCACCTTGAAGTCGCCAGAAGCGCGGCTGCTGAAGACATCCGCCACGGCATCCAGGAGGGACCGAAGCTCCTTGGTCACGGAATGGGCCTGGTCTTGCTCGTACTTGTAGAACTCTGCAAAGGCCCAGAGCAAGTTGGTCACTTCGTAGGGCTGGCAGCTTCGGAGCTGGGGCGTCGCCACCGCCGCCAGCCTCGCAAAGAGCAAGGGCTGGAAGATGTGCAGCCGTGCGCAGGACCACGCGATGATGGTGCAGCAATTGGCAGGAAGCCAACCGCCACCTGCCCCATCGTGAGCACGAAGAACGAGCTCATTCTCGGCGAAGCGCAGCGCTGCCTCCAACATGGTGTGGAAAGCACTGGAGCTGGTCACCGCCGCCTCTTCTGTGCATTCTGTGCTCTTGGCGATGCGGTGGAAGGCCGTGGCCAGGTTCACGCCATTCATCTGGCCAAGATGCCTGGCTGCGACGTTCAGGACCTCGCGGCCAGTCCTCCTGCCCGCCGCCACGAGCTCCTTGTTGATGCGCTTCTGCAGGGCCGACGCCTTGAGGGCATGCCCAGGCTGCGCAGGCTGCGCGGGCCGCGGATGCAGCTCGGGCTGGGCAGGCTGCAGCCGACGCTGCACAGGCCTGCTCACCGGCTGCGGAGGGCTTGCAAGCTGCGGAGGGCTTGCAAGCTGCGGAGGCTGCAACGACATGCAGGATCCAGGAGCGCACGCCCGGTCACCCACAAGGACTTGTGGCTTGGGACCCTGTTGGATGGGTTGCATGTGAAAATGCAGGGTTGGCTGGGCTTGTGCCAGAGCAGGGTCCGCAAGGCCCGGTGAAGGCTGGGGAGGTGTGACCGCAACCATCGTCTGGGCAAGGACGACTGGAACAGCCACCCCGACAATGCCGATGTTGGAAGGCGTGGGCATCGGGATAGAAGTGGAATCGCCTTGACACAGACTAAGTGGGGAGTTGCTCCGTGACGCCTCACACAGGTCGGCATAACCTTGCTCCATGTTGGCTTGGGAGTTGCTCATGGTCCACACAGAGTCGACATCGGAGGATTGGCTCTCAGGACTCTCGTGGCTTTCCTTAATGGTGCTGACTGAGCTGCAGCTGTCCTCCTCCAACGATTTTCTTGTAACCGTACGGTCCCAGGCATAGGACCGCGGGGAGTCCGGCAGCAGGGCCTGGGGTGTCAACTCGACGTCTGCCAGGAATGCTGGGCAGGAGACGCTTCGGGCCAGGGCCGCGGACTCCATCCTCTCGTAGTGAACGAAGGTGTTCTTCGTGGGCACCTCCATCTTGGAATCCATGAATGCCACGGCCATGTCTGCTAGAGGTCGCTGTACGTCGTCTAAGAACTAAATAAAACGCTCCCCAGAGGCGTTCTTGACTTGCAGTGCCAGGCAGTGCGTAAAGTGCGTGATCAGCCATGTCACGGTAGGGAACGTCTACGCCTGAGCTCCTACATGCAAGGCCCTTCAATGCAGGCCTCAGCGACCGGCCCAGGGGCGAACCGCTCAGCTGAGCTTGGTTGGCCAGCTGCCACATCTCATCACCATACCTGACAAAGCTTGCAGGGCACCTGACTTTCAACATCAAAGAACCGCCAGCCAGACTCGCAAAAAGCAAGGGGCCTTTGCAGAACCTCGAAAGAAGTTGACAGAAGCTGGTGTGAAGCTACCAGTGCGCCAGCATGTGCTGCCAGGGCACACGCAAGTAGGATAGCCTTCCGCATGCCTGGAGCTGTCAGGAGGGTGGGCCTCAAATTGCCTGTTGTCAGGATCATTGAGGATCTGTTGAAGCAAATCTGGACGACACCCGCTGACCTGGACTCAAGAAAGCCTGGCTTGGGGTGTGGAAGTTTGAGGCATGTCTGGGATATTCGTTTTTTCACTGCTCTACCAAGTGCACTTCTTAGGCGCCATCTGCCACAAGCCCTTTGGCCCTTCGCCGCGGTACCAGGCATCACGGCCGCCTTTCAGCCGCCGTAGGCGCTCTGCAGGGAAGCCTTTGTCCTGACATGAAATCTTGCTGTATCTTGCTGTATCTTTTTTGGGAGTTAAATCTTATCTTATCTTTTTTGGGAGTTGAATCTTATCTTTTCTTTTTTGGGAGTTGGACCCAGGCTTCTCAGCTTCGGGCCACGGAGGGCCACAAAACCAAAGCGGACCGAGCCACCACCAGCCACTGGCAGACGACCCCGCAGCGGCTCTTCTCCACGCCCTTGTCCGTGTAGCACCTAACTGCTCTTCCTTTGGTGCCAATAATTGTGGCACCATGGCTTCTTAGTGAGAATAACATAACCAAGAAGCTGCTCCGCAATGACAAACACCCACACCCTCAACCCGCCCACCCCACCCACCACCCCCCCTCGCCACACCCCTCGCCACCCCCCTCGCCATCCCCCCACCCCCCTACCCCCCTACCTTGTTCTTCGGTGCCTGGCCTGTACATGACTGTGTGACAACAGGATCTCAAAAGGGAATGATTGCACGAAGCCGCTCAAAGCCCCGCGGGAAGCATACCAGCACCTTGACACCCCGCAAGCTCCCGTTTGAGTTGCCTTGCCGTTGGGCAGGCTCAAACCGAGGCGGGTCCCGAAGTGTCAAAATCATGCTTTGAGAGATGAATTCTGCAAGTGCGTTGATTCAAAAACCGGAGCTTGAGTATAGACCCTTGTGAAAGCAGCGGACGCTTGCCCCAGAAATTGGCATTGCAGTCGGGAGGCACGATGGGCTTGCTGTTGCGCCGGAGACATTCCAGTTTCTTGTCCTGGCTGAAAGAATGACTGTATCAAGCTGGAATCTTGCTTGCTGAACCTCAAAGAGGATGGTAGCAGGCTTAGCAGGCTGTGAGAATTTCGTCAAGTGGGCTAGCAAAAAACTCGTCGCGATTGCAATTCTCGAATGCAAACCTCATCTTTGTGCTACTTCCTTATCGTTTTACAAAAGGCCAACCACACATCCCACATCCTGCATAGCACTGCCATGACAGCCCGGTGGCACTGTGGCTCCCATCTTGGCGGCGTGCTCCATTTTAGTCACAAGGGGAGCCGCGATTTTCATTGATCAAAAACCATGGGAGTTTCATTTTTCTAGCTCAGTGCTGGAAGTGAGGTTTCCGTGAGCCTTGAACTGCTCAGATGCTTATGCACCTGTAAGGCTTGTCTTTCTTTAATGAACTCCTTATCCACTTTACAATGAGTCGGTATTTTCGGGGCCGCCCCTTCTTAAAGTTTCACAGCAAGGTGTTTTTGCCAAGTCAAAGTGTCCAGGTCCGGCTTTGCAAACATGATGGCGCCGGAGGACAGTTGAAAAGCACCTGAGGAGGGTTCCAAGTCATCGCGGCGCCAGGTTCGGGTCAAGAAGGAGCCGCAACGCTTAGCAATGCACTCGAAAGTGTCGAAGAAGCCTCAAACGACACAAAATGCGCAAACCGCAAGTCACCCTTCATGGCATCGAAGGCAAGTCTGCAGAGCAAGCCGGGAAGATTCGGTGAGCAGAAGCAGCATGCTACCGGGAGTCGTAGCAATGGTCAGAAGCGACAGTGCCATAGTTAGTGGTCATCATGTACTACACGTCGATCGTAGAAAAGGCTTCTATTGTCGTCTAGCAGCTCAAGTAAAAGTAGTGGCCAGAAAAAACCCCAAAAAAACCCAAACAACCCAAAAAACCTAAGCCTGAGAAGCACCTGGGAGTGGTCCCCGCTCTGCGATCTCGAAGTCTTCGCCTTGCGAAGGCGGCGAACTCTTACGGATTCCTGCAGCAGTTTGGGAAAGCTTACATTTCTCAGGCTTCTAGTCTTGGCTGGGCACCAGATGAGATAGTGAATCGTTTAGCCTTTCTGGGCTTCTTAGAACGATGCACCGTCAGAAGCAGCCAGCAGCCAGAAGTCTACGCCAGCACACGACGGACGCAGTTCCGAGGGAGGCAGTGAAAACATGTGAAAACTCAGGCTCGGGCGCACATCCTTACTGCGATCAGTACAGCGAGCTGTTCGGTTAGAACGGGATGAAAGGGGAAGGTCAGAGCCTCCAGATGCAGCCCAGGGTCGACTGCGATGCACGACGCCTCATCCACCCACTTCGCCGCTTCCGCCGGCTCCACAAACTCGCCAGGCGCATCTTCTTCAGCGTGGAAGTGGGCCCCGCACCCAAAAACAGCCATGGCCACGCTGCTTTTTCTGGGGGTTGTTCAGGGTCCAGGGTCTGGGTTGCAAGTCGTGAAAAGCTGTGCCTGCGAGGCTAGGAGACCAGCACGGTCTCAATAGCTTCGATGTGGCTCAGCTCGATATGTCGGGTTGGGTTGAACGCACTGTCTCTCGCGTCCTGTCGTGCGCATGCTGAGTCCCTCGGCATGGTGGCGACCTGACTTTGCTTGCGCTGGGTGGGGCCCGCTGTTGCTGGCTTGAGAGCATCTGCAGAGATCACCTTTACCCAGCACCCCTCGCAAAGCCTTCAAGAGTTGTAGCTTGACTAGCCCGCCGATCACGATCTGTCATAAACCGCTTGCGACGCGAGCAGCCCCCCTCGCTCGGAGTTTCTCAACTGCACATAGCATGAGAAGCTTCTACAAACCCCTGGCGCGCAGACGCACTTTCGCAGCTCCTTTGTGAGCGTCACCGCGTCCGCTGCGATCGGAGCCGCCGAAGAAATGCAACAGCCTCCTCTTGCGGGGAATGGGTGCTTTTGCACGGGGTTCCTATTCTAGCACGGCAGCAGCTCACAAGTCGGCCCAGACAGCACTGGCCGGGGTCCAAGGCAGAGAGAGCCCGTTGAGAAGGGAGAGGCTGATACTTGTGTGTGAGATTTCTTGCTCAGGCAGCATGAGACCGAAACCCAAGCTCCTCGTCATACTCCTCCTCGGCCTCTTCAAACTCCACCTGGTCCTGGTCCTTCCAGTCCTCTGCGGCCTCAGTCCTACCAACCTCACCAAAATCAGAACCCTCCTATCCGCAAGCGGAGCTGGCACCAAACCTGGACGTGGCCATGCACCTCGACCTTGTCACTGACCCTCCTTTCAACCTTGCACCCAAACCTGGGTTATCGGCAGATTGCCCGTACGTACGGTTGCCCCCGGCTTGATACATTCTTGATGTACACAGATAAACATATCAATTTCAAGTATAGATATTGTTTTATGTATATATGTACACATATATAAGTAAATATATATATATATATATATATATATATATACATATATATATATACATATATATATATATATCTACATATATAGCAGCATTGTCGTCTGCAAAATGTGCCTCTTCGGGCTCCAAGAAAATCCGAGGCCCCGGCATCCGGCGTCGCCTTGGCGAGCTCACGCTCGCGCCGGGCCTTGAGGGCCTCGTGGACCTGGTAGTCTTGGGCTGTTGTTGTAGGGCTTGGAGTTTGGGGTTTAGGGTTTTGGGTGCTTTGGGGTCAAGTCTAATCCACCCACCCTGACACCAAAAAGCATCCCAAAAGCCGTTTGCTGTTTTCTTCCCTGTCAGACCTTTTGGGCGCTTGGGAGGGGGGCCTGGGTGGTGAAGGACCTCAGCTCCTTGGGCCACTTGTCTGGATCCCACTTGATGACCAGCACGCTCCTGGCACAAGGCACTGGTCAGCAATGAAGCCTCAGTCAACATGCCGGAGTTTCCACAGCTTGCGCTGGATCGACGGCTCGGCTTTGTGTCGCCGAACCTATCACGAAGGTGGCTTGGTGGATGGGGTCATGATACATACGCAAAGAAGAGTTGGCGTTTCAAGGTCTTTGGGTCTCCAAAACACAGCACACGGTGCAGCATCACGGGCCCCAGCTGCTCCATTTTGGTTGGCTATGAAAGTGACCATGATAACGAGCTGCGCAAAGTTGCGAGTTCTCCGCCAAGTGGGGTGAGAGTTAAGAGTCTGGGGGCTATAGGGGTTTAGGTTTTGCGCGGCTGGGCTTCATAGCGCCAGAAACATCATCCTGAGTCACCTAGGTTTCTGGCAACTGGCCTCCGCAAACCACTGCTCCAGTTCGGCACCCACCCTGGCAATGGCAATGTCCCAGATGCGGGCGAGCATTTGGTTTTTTTGGAGCTTCGCCCTCAACACGTGTCTGGAAGCCTCAACCCTACACCCTGGTTTGCTGCGTTCCAGCCAAAACCTCCCTTTAAACACCCTGAGACCCCTTTAAGCACACCCTCCCAGACGTTGCGCCAAAAAGTGCCCTCCGCCTGAGGAAGGCCTGGTTCGGCCGCTCCGTGGCCTCAAAGCGGTCGACCCAGGCTGCGGGCAGCAGCCGCGCCGGGGGCTCCTAAAACCGAGGCTCAAACCCTAAACCAAAAATTCTGAACTAATGCCGTAGGTGGCATCAGCTGCTGCATTCAGGACAAGCGATCATCAACATCATAATAGCAATCAATTGTGTCATCATGATCATGTATCATCATGGTGGCAATAATCGTCGTCATCAACTTGATAATGAAAATGAGCTCTCTCTTGTTTTTGTTGTCATCCGCAATTGAGCGATGGCGTGATGCGGCAGAGACCCAGGTCTTGGCGCCCGCGCATTAAGCGAGAACTGGTTGGCTTTCTTCTCTGCCTCCCACTGCTCCTTGAGATGGGGTACCTGAACCGATGTGTATAAAAGTTTATTGAAATCATGTGCCTTGCCCACCTTTCTGAGCCCTTGCCTTCTCAAAGAGCTGGCGGAGGAAGATGTCCACCGGCAGGATGGGGCAGAGGTCGACGGCGCGCTGGAACGGGAGCTGAGGCTTAGAGGCAGCTGAGGCCTAAGGGCTCAAGGGGCTCAAGGGGCTCAAGGGTCTTACGGTCTTGAGCTCGCGTTCTCGCGGCTGGGTTTGGGGTTGGGCGCGTTCCTGGCGACAGGAGTGAGAGGCGAGAGGAGGCAAGTGAAGTGGGCACAGGCACCGCACACTGAGGCACCGCAGCCTTGAAGAGATCCGCAGCTTCCTCGTACTCGTGAGTCTTGTCCTCACGTTCTAAGGAGGGACAGGCTCTTAAAAGGAGGCTCAGGGGGCTGTGCCAGGGGCCCAAGGGGCCCAGGGGCTTGAACGCACACCTCAACTGGGAGAGCTGAAATTCAGCAGGCTCATGCAGGCTCCATAAGCGTGATGCCCAGCTCGACCATGACAAGATAGTTGTTGGGGCAGAACCTCACATCCCGAGAACTGAACCGAGAGCCCAAGAATCGAGATGATGGAAGAGAAAACAAAAAAAGAACAACCAAAAGCATCGCAAAACATGGCAACGAAAGCAATCGAGCCCAGTCCAGGCTGCTCGAGTGCGCGCCGGAGATCAGCGATGGTGTTGGGCACATCCTACACCAATAATCAACGCGCTCCGAAGCAGGTTGTGTGGGCATGTTCAAGGCCGGGGAAAGCTCCGGAACATGCACGAAGGCATTGTCATGGTGTGTGGGGTTTGGGGGGTCGGCCTTCATCGCATTGTAGCACTTGGCTCGGAGATGGTAGCCTTCCCCCCACAAAGGGTTCTTGTAGGCCACCTGACAACATGCAGCCGGCCTGGAACATCCCCAGGAAGACACCCAAAATACACCCATGATCTGAGTCGTGCTGTCCGAGGCACCTTGTCGAAGATCTTGAAGGCCTCGTCCAGCTTCTTCTGCTTCATCAGCACTCGACCTTGCACTTGCGCTCCTAGATGGTACAGCCAATTACAGCCAGGAGCAGCTAGGCGCCGCACCATGGTCAACATCATTGTTGACCCACATGTTGAAGTGGGCTGCCCATGTTTTCTTCAGACTGATGTGCGCCTGGTGTTCGTGTATTGGCTCTTGTAAAGTGCTGCAAGTAGTGATGCACCTTGCCTGCCCAGCTACGTCCTTGTCTGACTCCCTTGGCTAACCGAGATCAAGCAAGTCTCTCAAAGTCATGGGCTCTTCCAGTCCGTGAACATGTGGAGCTTGTGGCGGCGGCTTTAACATGCCAATGAGGATGACTTCTGCATCGTAGCCACCTCGCCTGCACCAAGCCGGGTTACAGTCTGCAGCGTTAAGCACTATGTCTACTCCATGGGCTGAATGGCGAAACTCAGCAGCCAGGAACAGACAGGCCTCATGGCCCAGTACTCCAGTTCGTTCAAGGCCAAAATCTTGTCCTAGCATCAGGCACGGAATGCATCAGTCGAGGTCAGGCAAGCACATTGAGGCCCCATTTGCAGGAAGCTCAAAACAAACGTCAAGGGCAGGGCACTAAGTCACTCACTAGCTGTCACGAGCTGGCTTGGTACTCCACCAAGCCGAAAGCAAGATGACAAGCAATATTCAGACAAGCAGCAGATGTTTTTGGACTAAGGTTTCAGGGTTGAGACCCCACTGTAAGCCCCCTGCATCGCGGCTGGTCTTGTCGCTCTGTAAGGTGCGCTTGCAGCGCTGCACGGCCTGTCCGAAATCTTAAGCAAGCTTCCACTTAAGCCCCAAAGTTCCTAAAACCTTATAAGGCCCTCGAGAAAAAGGGTCCAAGATAGGTCATCCTGGGTAGATGCCAAACAAAAGGGTCCACTTGAGGAGCGTCCACTCCAACCTTAGCTCACATAAGCTTTACATATGCTTCTGTACACAAGGCCTCCGCTTCTTCACGGTTCCAGCGCGTGCACAGCTGCTCGTACGCTACCTGTGCACGCAAGGCAGTTCAAGTCGTGTCCTTCGATTTGAAAAAGGAAAGCAAGAGCTTCGATACTGCAAGATATGTTCCAATGACATGGGGCAGCTGCGCCTGGTCGGAGGACTTGCCAGGTTCATTCGGCATGTACTGGTCCCGAGACAGAACCCTCCTGCTCAGATCACTGAGGAGTCGAATATCTGAGCCTATGCAACATTGCACCATGCCCAAGCCAAACCTGGACACTTGCCGCAAAATAACCGTCGTGTTCAAATTGATTGGATGGCGTGCAAAAGCAGCAGGATCGGGTCTGCAAAACTCCTTGAGATTTGCCGTCGCCCTCCATGGCCTGGGCGTTTACAACTGCAGTAGCTACTCAATACAAGCTAAGCACTACAGAAATGGCTGTCAGCACGACTGCTACAACAAGTGCACTACGAGTAGCACATCCTCCCTGCCAGCACATGGCTGGCTTGGCACAAGTATGCCAGCGACCACCACGATCTAATTTCAGACAGGCACGGATCCCTAAATCAGTATGAAACGATATGAGCATCCCAGCGTGCTTTGCATGAAACTTTGCGGCCCGAACTTAGGCAGGAATGTGAAAGCCTGAGAGGGAAACATTCAAATCCGAGCCTCGATCCACAAACGTCTACACGAAGCGCGAGACCAAACCGCCCCAAGCCTTCCCAAGTTCCAGACGCTCTCGCGGCCAGATGTGGACGCACAGTGCCTCCGCCCAATCTCCAAAAAAGAACCGAAGATGGGCCCCTCCAACACCCTCCCTGAAACTTGCCATGGCAAAAGGCACGAAATCGGCCTACCTCAAAACAAGAAAAAAAACAACCGAAACCGTCCGAAATGCGATGTAAACTTCAGAAGCCACAGCTGGGCCTCGCGAGCCGCAAAGCCCAAGGCGCCAAGCAGTGGGACCCCAGAGCCGAAGGCCCAGCCGGAGGCCAAGCCGGGCGAGCCAGGGGCCGAGCCGGAGGCCAAAGCAGGCCGGGTGTCCGCCCGGTCGCGGCCGCCTCGGAAGCACAGGATGGAGTAAACTTTTGCGGCTTCAAATGCGGCGTTCCTTCCCTCAACACTTTTCGGTAGCACAGCAAAGGCACCTCAGCAAAGGCATTTAAGGTCTGCTTTACCATTCTTCTCTGCATAACTGACATGTGGTGCCCAACATGATCGGCATGTCAGGGCGCCGAGTAAACAGAGACGAAAGAAGAAAGAATCCCGAGCATCAGTACATCGTGCAAGTTGGGGGTTTATTCAATGAAGGCGCTCGGGCCCCGACCGCGCACCTGAAAGGCGTGCGAGGGGAACATCTCCGAGATGTAGGCATGCATGGTGCACTCTGGGGCCACCAACCCCTCCCGAAAGCTGAATGCATCTGGATACCCCCTTCCTAAACACATGTCTAACATTCTGTCGAACACCTCACGGCATGGGGAATGCTGGGAGCAGATGGGCTAAGCGGCGATTCCAAAGTACACTGCGCAACTATACGGCCCCAGCAGAGCGACATGAGATGCCTCTTCCCGATGCTGAGCCGATGCGCAGATTGAAGCACCACGCATGATCTCTAAAGCTCTATTGCGCCACACAGCATCCTCTTTGCGAAGTCTCTGCACCTTTTGAAGCCCGACTCCGCTTTCCATAACTGGTCCAGCAGGCTCAGCAATGTGCGATTTGGGAACAGAAGCAGCACTGCAACTTGCACAATGGTCAAACACGTACCATAAACGCCTATGTACTGCACCAACAGATCTAGGCCTAAGCTTCAAAACAGGGACCCCCCCAATCCCAAGCCCTCCAAGGGAGACAGCGTAAATTCTCTATCGCCTTCTCTCAGCAGATGTCTCAAAGAAACCTCGGTTCAGAGCTTATCTGGGAATGGGCAGAAGCAAGGTTTCTGGCTAGATGGCAACTTGTTGTAGTCAGGTTTTCAAGTTGACACATAGATCGGCAAGGGCAAGAAGCCATGAAGCCAGGCCAGTAACGAAAGCAGCCGTGGTTGAACCAATCTCTATGGGCTGAAATGTTGCGCCAGGCAACTTCTTCTTGAGCCTCTCGATGTCCTCGCGCTTGACCTTTGCATCCACCTTCTGCTGCATCTTGAAGGGGTTATAGTACAACAGCACCAAGTACCTGCAGTTTGGTGCCGTGAACGACAGCGGAACTTAAAATGAAAAGTAACCCTTCCGATCTCTTGCGGCCTGTCCCGGCTTTATTTTGAAACCCGAGGCGACACTGAATTGGAAAGTGTCGCATACTTGGGCTCAGGCCGTCCTGCGACGTTGAAACCACTCAAGTGGTCCATGGCATTCTTGGCCTCAGTGGTTTGAAGGCCTTGGCCTGAAGACAACAAACGAACCCGTGACAGGAAACATCACAAAAACATTCTTGAGTGCAGGGCATCGTAGATGTCGTCGTAGACCACGAAGCAGGTGCCGCGCGTTTCTGGGCCTGGCACCACAACGCGGGCCCATGTTTGACTACTAAGTGACTACTCTTTCAGAAGCGGAATGGCATCAGCCGAACTGGGCTCAAGACCATTGCCACGGCGAACCTGACGGATTGAGCCGTACTTGCCAAATATGTCATAGAGCTCATCTGCACCTAAGCTCGGCGAAGAGATGGGTAGAAAAGTCGAGCAGAGAATGCAAGTTGAGAGCAAGAAACGTGCATTCGAAACTTACCCAGTGCCCGGCTGATTTTGTAGGGCAAATTGCGCACATACAGGATTCCTGAGAACTCGCCAAAAAAAACCAGCAGAAATTACTGGATTTGAATACAGGCACCGTGAATTAAGAAATCTCATGAAATGTTGCGCAGCTCTGTGCAGCTGCAACTGCTTTCCTGGCCAAGCGTCGGTTCACTTCGGGGGCCAGTCTCACATTTCGCCTGAAGGGCTCTAAATCCGGTGGCCCCGATCCCCCACAGCGTTTGCTCCAACTGTTCACCTACTTCCCTGCCTGCCATACACCGGAGCACCGTCCCCACCCTGCCCACCAGGTCCACCAGGCCCACCAGGACCCGGCGGGCCACCAGGGGTCATGTTGATGCCAGGGCTCGGCCCTGCAACGCAACGATTGTTGCTGCGACTGCTTGTTCAACTGTGCCCAGTCATGCCAAGCCTATACCACCAGGAGGAAGACCAAAATCCATGGCGGCCACAGCGTCCAAGCTTGGGATGCGCAGTGACCACTGTCACAAATCCAAGAAGCACAGATGGCAAACGCACAGTAATTGTCACTTCTTGCTCATGATGCAACTATCAATTTTCGCCAGACACCCTTTGAAGCCAAGAGCATCCGCGACGTTCATCCTTCACCACAAGCGTGCATGGTTCATGACTCTTTGGGAATTGGGAGGAACTTGTCCATGGCTCCCTAACTTGCGAATCCAGATCTCATGAAAGAAGCTTTCCTCGCTGTGTTCTCCGCTATACAAAATTGATCGTTACCGTCGTTACCCCGCACATGGTTGAGCCAGATTTTTTACTCGCTGCTCTGAAAAAAACTGTTTTTGTTTTGCATTTGTCGTCGTCGTCGTGATGATGAAAAAATTCCATTTTTATATGAGCTGCTGAACGCTTGGAGCCGTGTGCAACATGGAAGCTAGCTAATTAGTGGGTTCCGCCGGTCCAAACAGGCACTGAAAACCGAGACAGTCGAGTCAATCGTGTACATCCAATCTTTCCCTTCAAACGGCTTCAGCGAACTGCATGAAAAGGCTCCTACGAACTGCACTGATCCCAGTCTCCATGGCTGCTGAATGGCTTTCATTGTGAAAAATGGTGCAACGATGAGTGGGGTCTTGGAGTACTCTTTGCCACAACATACAGCAAAGAGCCTTGCTGTTGATTGTCAATGATTTGCCTCACTACCCAAAGCCGACCAGGGTGCGAGCTCCCCAAACAATTGTAAGTATCTTACTTCTTTTCTCAAGTTCAAATGATTTCAGTGCGATGTTGGTGCTCTGTTTTTTGGTTCCATGGCTTCTTCAACCCAACATCACTTTGGCCGCGCTTGGCCCAATGACAAAGAGGCTCTCGGGACACAGCCAGGCCTGTTGACTGTGGCCACTTTTAAACGATTCCCGCCAAGTCACACACAAGCAGCAGCTCCTCACAGCCACACGTTTGCCCCCCCAAGCTACGAGCAAAGCGGGATGAAATCAGACTGCGGAAAATTGTGCACATGAAACAAAGATTTCCATCGCACATAGCATGTCGCAAATGCAGCTTCCCAAATTACAGGTGTGTTTCTGAAAAGTAAAGATGTTTCAAATCTTGCACGACAATTTCTTGCTGCTGTAAAAGCGATTCTCAAAGCGAAGACAATTCATTCTCTTCGAAATTCTGTCGTCTGTAGATGTCACGTAATTTGTACAAAAAACAAATTGAAAACATAAATGAACGGCCTTCATACAAAAAATGTATGTTTGGGGTAATCAAGATAGACAATCCGCGATGCAGTTTCTTGCGCTCTTTGAAATTTGTTGAAACACGAGCAACCAGTAGAGGCACATTACAAATAATTGCGAAGAAAGGACTAACATCATTCGAAGATGGCCAACATAGACAGCTTGCCTGTGACTTGACAGATTGGAAAAATGCACAAATTTGTAAAACGGCTTGAAAGACCACGGCATAACGGAACACAATACAACATATCACAACAGGATAAGCCACAATAGCGTGGAACGAGATAGGTCAAGCACTGTCAGAAGAAATTAGACTTTTGGAAATTTGAGTTTTTGGTCTTCAAAAAGACTGTAACATGTCATTTTTGTTTCTGAATTTGAAAAAAAAGCTGACTTTCAGACTGCAATGCGGCCAAAACGGCAATTTCGGTTTTCGAGCACAAGACTGTGAAGATTACTTTGTGCTATTTGAAAAAAAATCGGCCGATTACTGTGGAGGTCACTTCGGCTTCCCTACCTTTTGGAGTTGATTTCTTGCCCTCTTTTTGTGTCTCCAAATCCACACACCTTTCACCACCCGCACACTTCCACACTTGAACAGCCAGCAGAACCCAGCCGACAGACACGCAAACGCACACCACCCACTAAAGCCACTTTGCACCCACATCATGAAACACACCACACTCCATGACACACACAACTCTCTGCCAAAACGCCGAAACCACAACACACCACACCCATTCACAATGAAAAAAACGAGGTAAACACACACAGACACCACTGCAAGGCCACTGTTTTTTGATTTGGTGTTACTAAGGCACAGAAAGGCACACACAGCGACCAAAATGAAGGTGCAGAAAAGGCACTACACAGCGACCAAAAATGAAGACACGAAAAATGCAAAACACAAGCGACCAAAAATGAAGGCACAGAAAGGCACACAGCGACAAAATGAAGGCAGCAACCCAACAGACGAAAAAATTAAGCACAGAGGCAAAGCACAGAACACCCAGCAGCAACGAAAAATGAAGCACAGAAAAAGAAAGACATGCACCCGCAAACCTACTTTGCAACTACAAATTCACACACACACATCTACAACACTCTTGCACATGCACACTCAGAAAAACAGCTGAAACCACAAAATGCACATTTCTATGGATGTCTTTAAGTTCCGATTGCAATTTCTTTCACTGTCTTTCTGGTCAATCGACAGCTTACCGGACTTACCAAAAACACTTGCTAAACGATCTGTTTTTCTCAAAATTCTCTCTTTCTGAAGCTTGCAACCGAGAGATCATTCCAACAAAAAATACAGAAAACATTGAACAAAACAAGAGAAAATTCTTTTTTAGACGGGCGAAGGAAAAACCAATGTTTTTGCAGTTCTTGCTAACATTGAAAAAAACAACAATCACACTGACCTCTCATCATGGCCAGAAGGACTTGAGAGTCGCCCAGCCTCGATTTCCATTCCCATTCGACTTTTTTTGACAAAGCTTCGATTGCGTGCTCTTGTCTTTGATTTTCCAAAATGGCCAAACAGAAATTCAAGGCACACTGAAATTTGAGAGAAGATTGAGCAGAACTCTGCTTTCTTTTTCAGGCTGGGTGCCCTCAATTCTTTGTCTTTCGTTTTTGGTTGCGTGTTGCAATTCTTCCCTGGATTCAGCACCATTCAACAAATTTTCAAAATTTCTGAAGTTTCCGAAAATGTTGAAAAAACCCTTAAAATCAACACTTGATCAGTTAAAGTTGTTGAATTTACTCTGGTGTTTCGCTCGCTTCGCTCGCACTTATTCACATTCTGGTAATACACTTTGCAGAATCAACACCACGGTTGAACTTGTCTCGTCCTGCAGTTGATTTCTGTCCAAACGGCACTGTCAGAGGCTTTTAAAAACACTTGTTTCAAAGCATTGAACTTTTCCAAGCTGCAGTTTCCACCGATGTTGACGCTGCACCCTTCTTTTCTCCTCTTCTGCCTTCAGGCCTTGCACCAAAACCTGGAGAATCTGAAACCCAAGATGAGGGGCAGCAAAACTGATCGAAAAGGTAGGGAAGCTCCAGTGACCTCCACAGTTAGAGAAAGTTCCGGTTCCAAACAAGTTCACACTTTGCCGCCTTGCTGCCTGCTGTTCTAATTTTGGGGGAAGACTGACACAAGACTTAGACTGGAACCGACTGAGAGGCTTATTTGTTTTACTCGCAACGAGGAGCTGTGAAAGCCAGATCTGGCTTCCCGTGTGTGAAAAAAACGCCGCAACTGGGCCCAAAAATGGCTCCTAAACTTGGGTTCCAATTTGAGGCTCCAACCTGGGTGGCCTTGTATGTTCACACAGGAAATCCAAAATCTAGGGCCCGTTTTCGGTGCCCAGAATTGAGCTGCTTTTGGAACCCATTTGAGTTCAATAATAATTGAAATCAACTCACAGACAAACAAGATTTTTTCTATTCGATACTGTTTGCATCAACACTCAAGAAAACAAAAAACGCCGTCGATACGCGTGTTCTTGGCTTTGCTAAACTTGTCTTTAGCTGGCATTCAAGACAAAGCACTCTTGCATTGTTCGCGTGCGATCTTTCTCGCACAGTTAGAGAAAGTTCCGGTGCCAAACAAGTTCACACTTTGCCGCCTTGCTGCCTGCTGTTCTAATTTTGGGGGAAGACTGACACAAGACTTAGACTGGAACCGACTGAGAGGCTTATTTGTTTTACTCGCAACGAGGAGCTGTGAAAGCCAGATCTGGCTTCCCGTGTGTGTGAAAAAAACGCCGCAACTGGGCCCAAAAATGGCTCCTAAACTTGGGTTCCAATTTGAGGCTCCAACCTGGGTGGCCTTGTATGTTCACACAGGAAATCCAAAATCTAGGGACCGTTTTCGGTGCCCAGAATTGAGCTGCTTTTGGAACCCATTTGAGTTCAATAATAATTGAAATCAACTCACAGACAAACAAGATTTTTTCTCTTCGATACTGTTTGCATCAACACTCAAGAAAACAAAAAACGCCGTTGATACGCGTGTTCTTGGCTTGCTAAACTTGTCTTTAGCTGGCATTCAAGACAAAGCAGTCTTGCATTGTTCGCGTGCGATCTTTCTCGCACTGTTAGAGAAAGTTCCGGTTCCAAACAAGTTCACACTTTGCCGCCTTGCTGCCTGCTGTTCTAATTTTGGGGGAAGACTGACACAAGACTTAGACTGGAACCGACTGAGAGGCTTATTTGTTTTACTCGCAACGAGGAGCTGTGAAAGCCAGATCTGGCTTCCCGTGTGTGAAAAAAACGCCGCAACTGGGCCCAAAAATGGCTCCTAAACTTGGGTTCCAATTTGAGGCTCCAACCTGGGTGGCCTTGTATGTTCACACAGGAAATCCAAAATCTAGGGACCGTTTCCGGTGCCCAGAATTAAGCTGCTTTTGGAACCCCTTTGAGTTCAATAATAATTGAAATCAACTCAGATTTTTTCTCTTCGATACCGTTTGCATCAACACTCAAGAAAACAAAAAATGCCGTTGATACGCGTTCTTGGCTTGCTAAACTTGTCTTTAGCTGCCATTCAAGACAAAGCAGTCTTGCATTGTTCGCGTGCGATCTTTCTCGCACTGTTAGAGAAAGTTCCGGTTCCAAACAAGCACACTTTGCCACCTTGCTGCCTGCTGTTCTAATTTTGGGGGAAGACTGACACAAGACTTAGACTGGAACCGACTGAGAGGCTTATTTGTTTTACTCGCAACGAGAAG